AACACAGCAGCAGTAAGGACTTATCGCGCGGCTGCCGACGGATCGCGCAAGACCCCCTGCAGGGCCTTTAACCTACCTCCGAAACCCCAGGGGGGGGCTGGGGTTTTTCGATATGTCATTTTTTCAAATGCCGGCGCTCCGCGAGTCCCCCTTACTGCTGCTACAAGGCGCACATAGTACATCGTTGAGAGCCACTGGGCAGAGAGGAATATAAGGACACTATAGTAACTATACCTATAATGAATGGACAAGGCGCACATAGTACATCATTGAGAGCCACTGGGCAGAGAGGAATATAAGGACACTGCCAAGTAAATGGAAAGAGGATCTAGAAAAAAAATAAAACATGAAATTTTATATTTATGAAAATGTTAGCTCCGCTAGAAATAATAGACACCCTATTGCCTAGTAGATGGATGCTTTCCAGGTAGAAGTAGTAGAGGTATAGTAGTGGTAGTGTGTATGGAGTAATGGTAGCAGGTGTTGAGTGGTAGTGGTAATGGTGCTAGTAATAGTGGTGTTGGTGGTAGTGGATAGTAATACAAGTAGTATTTAAGTCTACTTACTGTGGTAAGAGCCTCAGCAACACTAGTAAGAAGAGCTGGCCTCAAGGAATGAAATAAAATCTTGTGCTCTGTCAGCACTAAGTAGAAGAGAAGTAGCATATTTTCTGCTTTGAGATGTCTCAGCATAGCAGTGTATGAAGCCCCACTGAGAACAAAATAAACATACACTACATGTGAGTGGAGTTTTTAGAGTTTCCTTTACCAAGCTGAGATCCCTATAGCTTGAGCATGTTTTTTCATTGCAGAGCATGTTTCATTCCATAGAGTAAAAAGATTGGGCATTTAAGATAATGTCGTCAAGGAAGAAAAAATTCTTAATCCTGAAAATTTCTGAATACAGCTGTCATATAGTCCTCTTTAGCTTAGGCAAAATTTTCCATTTTGTCGTTCTCTTGAGTATTATTTTTGGGGGGATACAACAATCTTACTCTCAAGAGAATCATATGATCTGGAATGAGAAAAAAACAACATTGCAGCCAAATTGATCTGATGTTGTGCTGCAATTATTAAGAAATAGCTTTTCCTCACAAAGTAGTCTACTTACCTGACAGGCAAAGGAGTGTGATATGGTTGTGATATCTCAAACGGTTCAAATCTCATCATCTGAAAATGTAAAATTTGTATCATTTAAATTGTAAGCATGACCTTTGATAGATTAAATATCACTGGTCTTACGTATTCTACATGTAGCTGGCTTTTAATGAGAGACTAGCAGTGATGAAAAACATATCCAATGTACAAGTAAGACATTACCCCATTCAGCCACGCCTTCAACATAGAGTAATGTTTTGTGAATGGGTGAAAACATACAACATCATATACAGTACTGGACTATGTAATATTATATAATTATACAGCTTCTCATTGATCCCATATAGGTAACTGTCCAATTCTTTTCTTAATTGGACAGGACTTGTTGATATGGGATTAATTAGGCAGCTATATGATTAATAGGTACTGGGATTTCATGCTCCCCAATCAAGAAATAATTAGACTTGAAAAATTCCTCTGACTGCAAAATTGGAATTGGCCTATGGCCTCGTCCAATTTTGGAAGTCCTCGGAATTTCCTCGTCCAATTATTTCTTAATTGGACAGCATGGAGTCCTATTACATATACTAATATGACATCATTTCCACAACAACAAAAAGTCTTCTTCTTATGTTTGAGTATTTCATCCAATTACAACATATAGTTATGGCTACAGACATGGCTATGAACTTGGTGTATCATTCAATCCAACTCACTGACAACCACCATAATTTTGCTCTGATGTGAAGTTGCATTTAATTTAGTAATTAAGGGAATGTTAACACATGATAACAAACCTCTATCAATATTCTTGGTATCTGAGGTGATGGAAATGGTACATTCAACATAAGTTTTGCAATATATCTGGAAAAGAAGCATGTTGATCAAATTACTGAAGATAAGAAAAATTGAACCAGGTTTCCTGGCCTTGGGGCTCCTGTAAACCGTCTTCCCATTGGTAGCTTATTTGTAATGTGTACATGTATTGTGGGGTAAGGGTGGGGGAGGGGAGGGAGGAATGATTTGTTGACATTAGTGGGAAGTGAGTACTTTTTTAAGAGAGTAAAGGTGTAGCACTTAATAGCCAGTGGCCAACAAACTATGGACTTCATATCATGATCAAATTGGAATTCAGCAGTTGATATTTGAAGATGAAGGAAAATCAATGAATCCAGAGAGAAATCCTCACAGCACAGAAGAAAACCTATGAGCAAACCTTCTCACACTTAAGTCCAGAACCACCCATGCTCACTAATATAAAATATAAAAGAGACTTATGACCCAGAAACATGTTGTTTGCACTTACTTTTCAATAGGGATCGGTTGTGCAGACACACTTATTCTGTAGAGCTGCGAGAGGAACTTTTTAAAAGCTTCAAAAAATGGCCAGTGAGATAAAATACAGATGCACTTGTTTGTGTGCGGATTCATGATTACATTATCTTCTCTCTGAAAGACAAGAAAATAAAGTCCTTAGACAACTTTACTGCTAGAAAAAGGTGACAAAAATTTATCGACCTATTCAGGATAGGTATAAATAATACACTTATTCTGGAGCAAATTCAGAATACCTAAACATGCACTTCGTTTTAGTATGAAGCAAGTCTTTTAAAAACAATGCAATAARAATAGAAGAACAATAGGGGATTACCGGCGTTTGCATTGCTATGTGGCCACCCCGGATAAAAATCTTGACATGCACTTTGCACTAGACTGCGGTCAATCAAACATGTTGACGCCATTTACACGTGTGTGTGATTCAAAAGGCCCCAATTCTTTGGTTGATTGTTTACAAGTATTATTAGCCACACTCGCTGGGCCTATCTGGGCCAATCCAAACGCGTGTAAAATGATGTCAACTTGTTTGATTGATGGCAGTCTACTGCAAAGTGTACGTCACGATTTTTATCTGGGGTGGCCGCGTAGCAATGCAAACACTGATAAAGTGTGCATATCATTTGGCCAGGTATTCTGGAGTTTTACCATTTTCCCAACTCTCTGTTACCTTTTCATTAAGATTTAGAGCTTGTCTTAAATTATCAGTCATTAATGATTCAGGTAAAATTTCAAAAAAAGTCACTGCTGTGCCATATATCTGAAGAAAATAAATGATAATAAAAATCATGTCAGTTTATATCTTTATTTGTATACTTGTCTATTGCATACTGGTTGGAATAGTGCCTAGGTAATGAGTTGAAGCTATTCTTAATCCTCATACTCATCATCACCTTCATCATCATCATCATCATTTTATGATTTTTCTTTGTGATCCTCTTTGATATTATCATCATCAGCAGGATCACCTATTTTATCATCATGATTGTCATCAACATCATCACTATCATCACCATCATCATCATTTTATAATTTGTATTCATGATCATCTTTGATATCATCAGCAGCAGCATCACCTATTTCATCATCATCATCACCATCTTCATTACCCTTATAATAATGCATCATGGTTTCCATCATTTCCATCATCACCAACACATCAGCTACATGTGTCATAACAGTCCAACAAACCTTGTAGATAGCAAAGGGCAGTGAACAAATAGACCTCTTTACCTTGGGTGTAATGTTTTTCCATTTCAGACCACACGTCATTCCCTAAAGTATCATTTCTTTGTTTAACGGTTGCACATGAGAAGGCATATGAATATGGATACCACTCACACAAAGAATCTTATTCTTTAGGGAATGACATGTGGTCTAAAATGGGAAAAAAACAACATTACACCCAAGGTAAAAAGATCTGTCATCTCAGCTCTAGTACCTTTTGTCCAGAGGCTCCTGTCAGAACAAAAGTTGAAAAGGAAGGCAAGGGATGTGGACATTTTTCTGGCCAGCATTCGATAATAGTTCCAAAAGGAAGGCAAAACATTGGCACTCCATCAGGAAGAGGAAAGTCTTCATAATCAAGAGGAGGGAACCTACTTAAAATTTCTAAAGAAAATACAAATGAATTAATCAATGTGTAGTTCCAGACAATATCCATACATTTACCCCCCTCACAGAGGATGACCCCCTAACCCCAGAAATTCCAATTTTCTTCCATACAAACTCTGTAACTTTTGTTCTTTCTCTGACCCCTCACCCTTCAGAAATTCCAAATTCCTCTGTGGGGTGGGTATGGATGATTTCTGGAACTACACAATAGTAACTATCATCAGATAAAAAATAGACTACAGATTTCACTCATTTAATTTGTTCATAAAACATGACATTTCGACTGCGGCTGTTAGTCAATCATATTTGCTCATGCAATATTTTCAATGAGGGTCAGAGATCAGAGAATGCTCGGGTAAGTGAGCAAAATTCTGCAGCTTAAAATAAAGTATAATGGTGTTTTCCTATTATTTCAAAACTTAATGAAAATGCTGCCAGGACTCTCAAGCTAGTTCAAAATCTTTTTCTATCATTTCAAAACTTAATGAAAACCCATGAAAATACCTGATTGTAAATGTTACTCTCACACACGCATATTTATTCATTTACCTGGTTGATACGTAACAGATCTTGATCTTGATAATGATTTTCTGTAGCATAAAAATACATCACTTCCAACCTATCAAGAAAATCACACATTTTCTTCAAGCAGATGAATGCCAGTTTTTTCAAGCAATAGTCATTTTGACTCTGGTCGTTTCCATCCACCTATGTTCACATTCGACCTGGATCAAAATGATTGTTGCTCAAAAAGACTGGATACCATGAAAATGTTAAGCTTTCAATAGAGACCTTTTTTAATCGCCTTGGACAATTATTCACACGTCTCTATCGTTGCAAGGTCACGGTTCGTCTCGCTTCCATGCAAAGGCACGGCTACCTTTCAAGATAGCGCAGGGAACTGTGAAGGGGACTATTGAATCAAAACACTGAGTAATAGTTTGTCAAGGGTATCAAGGGCAGGCATGAGAGTTAGGCAAATTTCAGGGAAATGTAAATGAACAAATCCTTTTGCCTCTAAGTACTAGTCCCTTGCTGCCATACCCATTCATGATACTTTTGACAGAATCAATCACCTCTAGATCTCAAAACTAAACTACAGAAAAGAGCATACCATACAGTATGAAACACTTTGTAAAAAATTACACAAATTTGTACAAATTAGTAAGTTCTGTAGACCTCAGTAGACCTCAACTTTGCACTAATTTGTACAATTTTATTAGGTAACTTTTTCACAGATATACGGTATGCACTCTGTATTTACTGTATTTACTATTTTATTTCTTACCATTCCTTTGTTTAAGTTTCTGTCAATTATACAAAAGGCATGTGGTGGTTTTTCTCCCTGAAAAAAAGGATTTTCCTATTATTCATTTATGTTCCTATTTCCATCAAATGCAAGAAAGTGAGACTCTTTTGTCAGCTTATGGGCATTTCTCATTTGATGGCCATGTTGGCTGGAATTATGGGTTTGTCCAGGAAACTTTGTAGTTACTGGTAAAAGTGCCAGTGAATGACTTTACCAGGCATATAGGCCGCTTGCTGCACATCAGAATGCAGCTCAATTTGGAGGACATAACAGTAGATTCCCAATTCTCAGGAAACTGAATTTGTTTTTGTTTTGTTCTCTGAATTGAGTGCTTTGACATCACATGCAAGGGGTCTATAGCAAACTTTTTTGCTCATAGGAAAGAAATTAAAGCATAGCTGCAATTAAGCAAGAATCATTAATTTAATCTACACATAAGCACACAACCCAGACAACTAGTTTTAATGCAAGGGTTTTTGGCTTCAGTAAATCAAATTGTAAACCCGAGTTAGTATTTTTTTGATTGATGGAAGCCAAAAACTCAGTTGACTTGGGATGTGTTAGTGACACAAAACCCTTAACAGATCCCTGAGCCATTTTGAAAGGTAGCTGTGCCTGTGCATCAAAGAAAGAACTGCTGTGACCAAGTTGCAATAAGAGACCTTTTTCTGACACCTTGGACAATCATTGCAAGGTCACTGTTGTTCTCACTTTGATGTACAGGCATGATTACAGGGAATAATTGGGAAGGGGACCATTTTGATAATGAGCATAAAAACATACCTTACTAGCTACAATGACACAAATTTCTGTCACTGCAAGTGAAGTATGTGCCATTTGCTGCGAAGCTCGTCGGTAGGTAATGAATGTCCGACTGCCGCCACTATTGTTAACATTTGCTGACCGTCCATATGGAGTTTGGGTGATAAGATCACAACCAGACACAAGTCTGTCCTTATCTTCATACAATACTCTGTGAAAAGTAGAAATTCTTTATTTAAAAAGAACAAAACTTTTAGCTTACACTTTATTCTCTCCAGAATGTTTGACTGTGGGATAAAAATTCTAACTTCAGTAACTTTGCCATCTTTGTTATAAACATTAGTATCATTGGATGAGGTCTAGCATGATATCATAAATTATCAAGACTTAGGTCATGTCGAGATATCGAAAATTTACGATATCATGTGAAAATTAAATTATCATTTTATTTTGTAAACTAAGAATGAAGATTAAATTGTGTTTTCCAAAAAAGCAAGTATCTCAATATCTGCCATGACCTTGAGTAAACTGGATACGATAAATAAATGTATTATCAACAGAGAAACCTACAGAAAATACACATCCTATCAAGGTACAAGGAACCAACTGTAAAAGGATTGGCTGAATGTTCACGGCCAATCAGATGTGAAATATAGTGAATAGAATGTATAATAACTTATTAAACGCATTAATAATTCATGAGGAAAACACAACAGAAATCACGACCGTGAAGAGTTTTTGTGAATCAGATACAGAATCCTGTTCATTTGCATAAACTTTAAGATGGATTTTCTTGGCCAGATTCACTTTTATCTTGAAAATATTAGTGAAACACAAAGGAACTAACCTAGACGTTTGATAAGTAATCTACAGTATTTGTGTCCGTGTTGTATCAATGATACAACACGGCCACTCACACTGTATATGTTACAAATAATCTCATATGACATACCCAATATCAGTTAGAGGGGGTTTATCTAGCCCTCTTCGATAACATAGAAAGCATGAAGGCTGCCTGATAGAGCCAAGATTAAGGTCAGCGGACAGCCCAGCAGGTGACTTCTCTATACATGTGTAACCTGGTGGTGGTTTTTCCCCAAGACTTTTGAAAACAACTGCCAAGTCAGTGATTGGCTCAAGGAAAATGGTTTTTTCATCACCCAGCTTGTCGACATCAGAAGGTTTGCTTGTTTTTCCAAGTCCAGCTACGACAAAATAGTCTGCCACTCGCTGGGGCTTTTCCTTGTCAACCATACTTGATGGTACATGTCTGGAAATGAAAGGGTTTTTTTTCAATTATTTTTGATCAAAACGTTTAATAAATAGAGGATATTACATGGGCGCGCGGAGATACGAAATTTATCTTCGAGTGTTGAAAAGATCTCTCACAAGTGAGCGCAGCGAACGAGTGAGAGATTTTCAACACGAGAAGATAAATTTCGTATCTCCAAGCGCCCATGTAATATTCTGTTTATTATATAATTATCAATGAAAGTATGTTTTGGCTTTTTCAGGCAATTCTTTCCGTGTATTTTTGAATAGCCATCGCAATGGTGTTATTTTCACGTGTGAAGATATCAATTTTTCGAAATAGAAAAAAATAGATATTTCATTGGTAATTATATAATAATTATTATTACTATATGCAAAATGATGCCAAGGAAAATGGCATGAGAAGATTAGTATGATCATTGTAACAACAAACATATGCACAGAATGGATATGTTTATTGAGGATAAATGACATCAACTACATCATAATTCCTAATAATTGATGACCCAATGACCCTCAAAATGCCACAAGTTTTCTTGGAATATCCAAAGTTCTAGCCCATAACCAGCAATTCTATCAAATAAAGAGTGTAATATAATTTGAGTATAGATTTGTTACAAATTCTATTTACAAAAGATTGAAATTTACTACCAAACCTGATGTTGCTGTGATAAAGACGCTATACTTAGCCCAAGATAATGTCAATTGACTTTCTCTTTGACCTTTAAATCATCAATAATAGTGGAAAGGTGCCAGATTAAAGAAAAATGTTTGCACTTAAAATTTTTTTGCTTTATGTAAATATCTACACATGTATTCATAAAGGATTGAATTTGCAAAAATGATATATCAAGAGCTAGTTACATCAACGATTGTCAACATAAACTACCAGAATCTTTATTTAAAGCATGCTGAGTAGATTTTAGAATTACCTATAAAGGGCATTAAAATAATAGCATAATGTCGCACAGCTGTGATGAAATACATGACATGTACATGTGTAGATAGTGTGGTCCAGAGGTTTAATCATTAATAATTAAGCTTGCTTTGTTGACTGTCTTATCATTCCCATACAGTTAATGCTAATGTTAAACACCACCAAAACATGCATAATACCAGCGATTTTTTGAAATTTTTAAGTCATTAAAATTTTCCATGGTTTTCACCATCCTCATGCATTTATTATGAATAACTTTTACATGTTCTTATCACAATACATTACACTATTGCACTGATTATACTATAACAGTGTTAAATTCATCTCAAAATCAAAACATGGTTTGCACAATACTAATGCACAAGAAAAACTATTTAAGACCATATAATATAACCACCATTGTTATTACAATAGGACTCTGTCTAAAATCTAGTAGACACAGATATTTTAAAAATTATTCAAATCAGCTGTTCATATGTTTAAGAATGTATCATTTGGTACATTTTAGGTATGATTACATTCTTCATATATGTGAAAATTGAAAAATATATATTATTAAATATTATTATCATTTATCATTTTTGCCTCAGCATTGATTTAAATCAAATAATTGTATACATATCTAGACTGCCATATTTTAATTTGGATGAAAAAGTTAACCTCAGGTTCACATATTTTCTATCGTACTTCTTGAACATAATTCCAAAATCCAAATTTTCAATCCATCAGTATAGCATAAAATTCAATGCCATTATGTATTTGAATGGCTCTGTAAATTTAAAGCTTTAAGTAATCAATAGGGAAGGTAGGTTGGGAACAGAACTTCAATAACATCGATCTTATCAAATACAATGTATACCTTACACGACTTTGATCAGGCTGTGAAAATACGAATGCGAAAGCCCAAAAAGCTAAATGCATTCAGTATACGTGTTAAATACAAGCTTTATGTCCGACACAGTGTATTATTCATAGCCTTGAGTATACAGTACGTCTGCTGAATGGAGCATAGTACATGCATGGAGCCGTAAATCAAAAATATGTGTTGCTTAAAAACAAGAGTCGAGATAAAACGGTACAGAGTGTAAAACATTTGGCTGGGAATATGGATTATTTATCCAAAATGTCGTAGTTTTATTCTACATTGAAATAAGAGGGTGTAACTGGATGGTTGGGTGATGAGCGTTCATTCATTTGCAGACAATCAGGATATAAAGACAGTGAAAAAAATTGCCAGAAAACCGATCTTGTGATAGAGTCAAAGTCAAAACAGAGGGTGTTTTTAGTAAAGGTGTTTTTTCAAAGAGTCAGATATTTTTGAAATATAGAACGTAGAGGAGATCTGTTTGAATTATACGTAGTGTAATAGAACGAAGGCAAGGTGCTGTTCACGAACAATCACGTACGTTTAAACCCAAGAACTTAGAAAAGTTAAAAACGTAATTCCTGTTCGCCTTACCTTTAAAATGTCTCTCTTGGAGTGTAAATAAAGTAAATTTTCAAACAAAAGGGATGAATAAGACAAGATTTAACACTATGACCTTGGGCAAATACATTATATAGCTCCAACTATTATGTGAAGGTTAACATCAAACGGTTGTTTTGAAGGCTTTGGATGACTTTCTCTTCAAAATTACAAATCTTACGTACCTCAAACCACCATAATGCCTTTACCTGATCCCCACTTTATCACTCTGCATGGATTAAACCATGGTTAAGGGTCTAAAAAATTAAATTTTTGTACGATTATAAACAAAGCACTTCTAGTAAACACGAGGAACGTTTATAGTGAACACCATCCGCCAGGTTACAGAGTCATTGACAAAACACGACGCACGGGGACCCGGGAGGGGCGGTATTGACTAAGTGTTCCGGTCATGTGAGAAAGATTCCCCTTTGTTTAAGTTTCAGAAAATTGTTGAAGCATTAACTCATTCGCTAAATAATGGCTACATTAAACAATGGTGTCTACACAATGAAGATACATTCGGCTCCTACTACAATATCAAACAAAACTATCTGTAATAATGATAATAATAATGATAATAATTTTAAAAAAGTAAAAATATTGTTTGAATCTGAATCTTTTTATGCAAATTTTCCTTCTTTTTTTATATACATTCATCCTAATGACGAAAATACACAAAGAGAAAGTAAGAGATCTTAACACTGTGACCTTGACACTGCCAGCAAAAGTGAATACAATGAATAAAGATTTACACCTTTTTTACTCCTGGGTAATCTATTATTAACTTTTTGCATAAAAAAATGAAAGTCATTGTTCTAACCCACCTGTTTGCCTGTAATGTCAGTCATCTTGATATACTGAGCTGTAAAAAATTGTACATTAATTTTGCTTAAAATAAATAAAAAACCTAAGACTTGATATTTATATTTTGGACTCAATAATTGAGCATTTCAGGTATCTCCTAGTGTGGAAAATTCCAATCTAATTCACAGGATTTGTAAAATAACAGGAGTGGGGGAAGAGGAACAATGTCCTTCAGGAGAATAGGAACCTTTTCATTTTTCCCCATACTTTTAATTCCAATTTTGTCATTGCAGCTTAGATGCAGTCACAGGTGAGCTTAAAGGACCCATTTTTGGTGTTGTTACAACATTCCCACTTATCATCAACACAAAAAAAAAGAAAGAGAAAATGAATGCTGTCACAATTGCAATTTCCCCTCTCTTTCTTTACTAATTACCTCTAAATGATAAACAAACAAATAAATACTTTACAATACAATACATATTTTTCCAAATTTGATGCTTTATTCATTCTAAATAGATATATATATCTTGGGTGTAATGTTTTTCCCATTTCAGATCATGCATCATTCACTTGAGAATAAGATTCTTTGTTTTGAGCTGTATCTATATTCATGTGCCTTCTCATGCACAAACATTAAACAAAGAAGTGGTACTCTAGGGAATGACATGTTGTCTGAAATGGAAAACATTGTGCCCAAGCTAAAGAGAAATATAACACTATACATGGGTGTGGTCATGTAGGATGAGGTCTTTTAAAAGTCTTATGGATTTAAGATTTTTCTTCTTCTTTTACAGCATTTTCATCCTTTCTAAAAGTATTCTGCTTGTCCATTATCTCCATTTCAAACAATGCTTCTTCTTCTAAAACTTTTTTCCATGCCCAATCCTCAACCTTGGCCTTCGACGCGATTTCCTTTCTTCTCCTGAGAATCTCTCTACTCATCATTTCCAGTTCCGACACATTAACCCTAGGATCTTGCACTTTGATTTTCCTGTAAACATCCAGTAGGTGTTGAAGTTCATCCCACTCAGCTGCTGTTTCATTGTACTGAACACTGAGAACTCCAGGACTCCTCGAAGTATCTCTTATTCCGTTTAATAAAGAGCTCAAAGCGAAGCAAGCACCTAAGACAGTAGACGTACCACCAATAATCCCCTTTCCTTTTGGAGTTAGGCCAACTTTGTAAAAATGCATAAGTCCAAAACCCCCAGCGCTTAACACACCAAATAAGGATGCCACTCTATCGGTAAGACGAGCTATTTTCTCGTGTCTTTCTGAGCTATAATAACACGCTCCGGCAGCGATTCGACAGTCTTTGTGAAGATTAGTAAAGATGTCATAAAACTCTTTTCGAAGATTTTCGTCCAATTCTTTGGATCTCGAAGAAGAGAAAATTGAACCCATTTTATCACTGTTGAAGTGTCCTTCAAAGTTTTTATGAACGCAATATCATTCAAGCAAAATTTTCTTTTAAAAGCTAAAGTTTGCTATTCTGTAAAAGAACGCTTCGTCCGCCATTTTGCATCTGCTTCTCGGAACTCTTCTCCTAATGTATTCTGGGCTTTTTTTACGAACGAATTCCGAATTTGATCCGAATGTGCTGCTTTTGTTACGGAGTTGTTCCGATTATGCTCGAAAAATATAATGGTAAGACAAAAATCATATTCGTCTTTTACTATTTTTAAAAGCACACTAAAAATATAATTGTTCTTAAATCTCTAGACAATTGTTTTTCTTGGGGTTTGAAATTTTGTATGATTTTTAGCTCGCAAATGAACAAAAATAAGATTTCGTGAAGCAAATCACATATTTCCCATGACGCATCAGTGTTGTAAGAGGGAGGGCATTAGAAGCAATAAAGCAACCCCCCTATCAGTGGTATTGTTCAGTATATAAAAGCCTCGCTCTTGACAAGAAGGTGGCTTTTTTGAAGCCCATCGAGAAGCTAAGTTCCGTTCACTACTCAAAAAATATGTCTAATTCAAACAACGTGGTATGTCTACACTATCCCTACGTCGATGTTTTGTCGAGATCGTTTGTAAACGAAATTTTTTCCGTTGTTTTTTTAGCCCAAGTTGTACCGTAGTGTCATCGAAGAGGTCATAAAGAATGTCAAAGAAGCGTTTCTCAACGAAGGAGTAGACGAACAAGTCTTACAAGAATTGAAGCAGGTAATTTATGGCTTTCCGGGAACTTTGTTTTTAGTATTTCCTGGTAGTTACCTCAGTAATTTCTTGTTGTTTTTGTGTGTTGTGAATCTGCTTGTTGATACTTAATATAATCAATAGCAATAGATCTCATCGGCGGCTGTCTCTAAAAAATTCACGTGTAAATTTAAAAACTGTATCAAAATAATAATAATAAGCGTAATATTCTAACAAAGTCTTATCTTTACTTAAGATCATTAAAAAAGCATTCAGACTTTATATTGAGGATCCTGATTAAGATTACGATTTGTTTTCGGCATTTTGGTTGTATGAGTTACTTATTGTGTTGGTTGGTCCTTTTTACAAAACAGAAAAGAATTTAAAAATCTAACATTTAAATGAAAATTCTATTTCCCTTTTGGCATGTGCTCTAGAAAAGTATTAAAGAATCCGTAGTTGTTTGGCGATCTGTATTTTGGATCTTTTTAACCACGGGTTTTTTTGATCAGCAGAAAGAGTCCGACTTTGGTCAGCTGGCAGAGAAAGCAGACAAACTTTGACTTTGTTATGCAAGTTTAATGTCAACTCTCTGCGGGATCCCATAACTATAAACTATTCAAATCCACGCCAAGCTATATTATTTTTTCTCGTTTAGGAATTATAGGTGTGAATTCCTTTTTTTGGAGTTTTTCTTGGGTCATTTATGTGGAAATTCATTCAAACAGCTGTTTATTGATAATTTTATGCAGTTTGTTAACCCTTTGTAGTACAACGCTTACTCTAATTGGTCAAATTGTAACATGGAAAAAGACTTTTTTTCACACCTACACTTGCAAAATACAAACAGAAAAGTAGTCTCTATTTGTTATATAAAATGTAAATTTTAAATTTTGATGATAATACCATTTTTTCCTTCTAGATATGGGAAAATAAACTACTACAGTCTAGAGCTGTGGATGGTATGCCAGCCGATAATCAACAAGCTAGACAGCAATATATGTACCCTCATATTGTTCAAAATAATCCAGGGTTACATGTTCCAGTGACTTCTGCCATATCCAGGCCACAGCAACAAGGTTTGATTGATGATTCAATGTTCAAACAGACTACAGTATAATGTAGTTAAAGTTACTTAATAGGATACAGTATGTCCATAAACAGTAGTAAGACAAACATGTTTTTGTAGGTTGGAATCATTTACGAATTCAAGGACGCTACTATCCTTCTCTTTTCCACACATAGCTCCACGCGTGCGCACTAGTCCTTGACCTTCACTTCTTTCTTTTTCAGCCAATGAAAGTTAAGCCTACATTAATTCTTATTGTTTTCATTGACTAAATAATTAATTTGTTTTGTTCCAGTTGCGATAAGCCATGCCCCAACAGTACAGATACCAGTACCTAGTACCATCAATCATCGGCCAGGAACAGCTGGCCAGACAGCTATCATCTTTCCTGAGTCTCGTGCACAAGCACAGACGCATGTACATGCACTTAGTCAAATGGTTAGTTTTGAGTTAATAGAAACTTAGTCATTATATTATGCTTACCATTCCATAAAAAGCTAGGATCCTCTTAAGTTAATTCCACGCATTATACTTTTTACCAATTATTCTTTTGTAGACTGCGGCAGCTTCAGCTGCAACATTAGCTCTTCCTGGTATGCAGCAAGTACAGGGTATCCAACAACCTCAAAGGACTGCAGGTATGGTTTTACATTGGTATTATGGTTTTGTCTATCTTTGTAGACACTTTTTGAATCGAATTTTCTACCTTATATTAATATGCCATTGTCATGACAGTCATTTAATGTTCTTGTTTATTTTCCAGTTACGCAGGTGCCCACAGCCTACCCAACAGCCAGAACAATCCAGGTCACACACACTCAACAGCAACAGCAACAACTACAACAGAATCAGCATCAGCAACAGCAAACAGCACAAGTGACAACAAACAAACCAGTATGTATTTTTGCAACACTGATAACAAAAAGCACATTAACATCTGGGGTGGGGGACTCTTGTATAGAAGAGCGGGTGTGCTCATTGGAATTTTTGAAGATTACCCCTAAAAGGTACCTGGGTCTGGTCCAGCTGAGCAAGTAGGCATGTCAACAAATGATTTTTACCCCTAAGAGGTATTTGTTATCAGTTGATAAAAAGGAACTGCCTTACTCTCTGGTGGTCCTTATAAGATTTGTGACACCCTAAGAGAATAACCATTTTGCAGATCTGGAACTCTAAAAGGTACAATGAGCATTTCCATACTTTCCCAATCTGATTTCCCCTGGATTAAATTTAGCATTGCATCATTGAGTTATGCTGAGGACATTCATTCCATGGCTTGTTACTTTTATTTACAGCCACAAATGATAATTCAAGTTGATGGAGTGAATGACAGTGACAGTGATGGAGATGATGATGATGATTTTGGTGATGATCAAGATGAGGAAGACAATGAAAGAAATGTCACTCAAGAACTAGAAGAAGAACCGGAAAAGGATGTAAATAGGACAAAAACGAATCTTGCATGACTGTTAAAAATGCACAGTACAAACATGATGTACTAAGGATGCTATGTGATGCCTTCTCTGAGTTAGATAAACAGGATGCATTGTAGTGTAGCTTCGGTACAAACAACACTCATATAAGGCAAGATGAACAAAAGATGCCTGTACCGAAGCTAGACAACAATGCACCATAATCGCTATCTCCAAAAAGGTCTATCCTGCCCTGAAATCATGTCCACAATTACAGTCATTGAGAATTTTCTTTATCTTATTTATATCCAAGGAAGAGCTAAACTCTGGAGATGATGACTCAGACGATGGGGCAACAGACTTGTTCGATACTGAAAATGTGGTTGTTTGTCAGTTTGATAAGGTATGATATGATACAGGATCACACTCTGCCCAACAGTAAATCTGCTTTGGTTCAATCACATCATATCAACTCATATATAGTATTTTCTATTCAACGAAAGCCGTAGTCAGCCAGTCATAAGGTCTATAAACCAAGAACGATTTTATCAAGTACTGAAAGATTTGGGTTTTGCAAATGCAGGAAAATCAAGCCAAGATAGAGACAATAAAAAATTCTACTTGAATATGATGCTTAGTCCAGGAAACGAACCTGAGAACCCAAAATGAGAAACAAGTGCTATACTTCTACACCACCTCATACTGAATTATTTTTGTAATTTATATTCCAGATTGCAAGAAGTCGAAATAAATGGAAATTCCATCTCAAAGATGGCATAATGAACTTAAAAGGAAGAGATTATGTCTTCCAAAAAGCAACAGGAGAAGCAGAATGGTAGTAAAATAATAACATCCATCAGTAGAAATGCAATGAATACATATTATCTTGACCAATTAGCCTTGAGAGACATTCCTTTTAAGATAAGCTGCCCCCATAAACATGAGATTGTGAATAAGAAAATACCTATTTTCGATCAGTTTATGGACCAAGTTTATAATGAGAATATCAGCCAGAAAAAAAGGAAAGGCTATTGATGTAGAACAATTGTTATTTACCGTTAATACTTCAGAGGGTCGTTATTTTCAGTTGTTTTTGCTAATGCCGCTGCCTTTATGCAACAAATCGAAGCTGGAAGACCAATTCCATCGTTTAAGAAATGCCAAAATGACTTATTCATCATTGTTCAAATGAGGTTAAGTTTAAAAAGTGCACAAATGTATCCAGTCTTAGTTGTTCAGCGATTGGTCGAGATAAAACAATGGGAAGCCATTTTAGTGTTAATATCTAACATAGCTTCCTCGCATCTTTTTTCTTTCCTTCTTTATCGTTAAAAAAAAAGAACATTTAATTTTATAGTATGTAGACGTATATATAATGTAGACCCTCTGGGGTTATAAATATCGTTATTGTCTCTGAATATATTAATGCATTGTAATATAAAAAAGTTGTCGAAAACGAATATCGTCAAATAAATGTTATTGTGAGATCGATAATCACAAGATACCGGCTTGATGATACTCAAAAATATGAAACCAGTGAAGCCAGAATTAGCGAAGTTAGAATTTTAACAATAGTAGAGAGTTGAAGAGTCTTTTTTAGAGTGGTCATTAAACCCGTGAAATAGATATTAGACTAATGCACTTTAGAAGACCCTAATTCCATTGTTTTCTTTTGTGTTTATTTGACTATTACACGTTGACTAGTAATTTTTAGTTCACGGGTTAAATGCCTTCACTCTAACGTGAAATTTTAGCTGCCAAGCACAATTCTTTAGAATAGAAGTTTTCCGAATTTGCTGAAGCGAACAGGAAAAAATGATACCAAGATTCGTGGGTCATCTCTTGTCCAGGGTAGGAAGTTTTACAGTTGGCCTGTGTCTCCTGCAATATTACTGTCTCTCGATTCTTGCGAAAAAATACTTTCATCCATTGTCTTTTCCTTGATCTTGCTTGATTATCACATTTTTACCCTCTTGTGTGATCGTTGAAGGAAATCTCGAAATTCTTCTAAAATTAATTTAAAATTAAAATTAATAAATTTGGGCAGCTAGTTGTTATGACATTGTTAAGAAGACTTCGAAATTCTGATTCATACACAAATTTAATATCCAAACACCTCAACAAGAGTTGCCTTTTTTCTAAAGTGTGCAAACAAACCAGAAGATTTTTAATTTTACCTCGGTGCTCTTGAAATACTAAAAGAGTAAGTTTTCTTTATCATTATCGTTAAAGAAATTAGAAAAAGAGTGAAAAAAAAGTTTGGAAAGTTTAGACCGATGAAAATTATGAAGTTTAACGAAATTGTAACGGGTTTTTTAATCTTATACAGAATCAAAAATAGGATTTGAGGGAATTATGGGTGTAGATTTTTTAATTTATTTGTTGAAGAATACGTGAGGTAAATAATTTTGTTCGACAGGTTGGGTTGAACAAATGCATTGCAATTAGACTACTTGGAGTATTTTTTTGTTTTTGTTGTTTTTGATACACGCAAATTGGCACGCAGACTGGAAAAAGTAATACACGACAAATACATCTCATTATAGGAAAGAAGGCAAAAGAAATGCACAGAGTTGATTTGTAAGAAACGGTGAAAATGACTGACACCAGAAAAGACGACGAAAACAAACATTTGGCCATCGACATCATTGAGGATTTTTCTTCCTATACAACACTCCATGGGATCAACTCTATATCTCATTCCAAAACAAGAGCAGGAAGAATGACATGGTCGATGTTATTGGTATTTGCATTCGCATACACAGTCAAGTCCACTGTCTCTTCGTTCATCCGATACACGAAGCATCCATTCTCGACTGAAGTAACTGAGCAATTCGCTGGGGACTCCGGCTTAAAGTTCCCAACCATTACTCTTTGCTCCATGAACATGTTCGTCAAACGTAAAATACAACTCCCTGATGACGATCCACTGTTTCATAAGTATGGACTGAACTTAGATATATGTAATGAAACCAAAGTTATTCGACAGGCATATAATATGACTTGTGGAAACCTTCTGATGTGCAGTGCAGATGCGCCTGAATTTCATCCCGGACATGGATGCGGCAGGGCAGACAAACTGATGAAGGCAATAATAGCAACAAAGTCAGGCAATAATTTTTCGCTGAACTTTGATGAACAGTTCCGGAAAATGTATGGTCCTAAACTTGAAACCAGTACACGACTGTGCAGATTCGGCCAAGTGAGATGCACCGCAAAGGATTTCACGGGATATGTAACGAACCATGGAAACTGCTTCCAGTACAACGGAGATGTTGACAACGCCTCTTATTCTTTTGGTAAGGAGAGTATGACGTTGATTCTAGATGCCAAGTTGGACGATTATACTAAGACTCCCCAGTTTACAGAAGGATTCAAGTTCTATATTCACGACCAAGGAACTTTTAACTCGCCTGAAGGCGGTTTCGTAGTTTCCCCGGGGAATATCGCGACTGTTACCGTGCAACAGAAAAAGGTGAGAAAAAAATTGGAAGAATGATTTTGTCCGATAAAGTTAGGTTATTAACTGACGAAGTAGCTCTAAACGATTTGTCCCTTTTTTCTCTTCAATCCCGGGCCCTTCAGAAATGAATATTTTATTTTCAGTTGTGTATATGATATAAATATATTGCTTATTTGTATTCTTATCTCGTTTATTTGAGTAAAGAAATTACGATGGCGCATCCAAATATAATTCAAACAAAAAATCTTCTCGTATGACACTAAAACTGAGACAACGAAGGAGGCAAGAAAAGTCTTAAATGAGTCACAATTTGGATCATTTGATGAATTAAAACGCTGAAATCACTCGGAATTTCCTAAAAATATTTTTCTCTTGTTCTAATTTTTCTAGACGATTTACCTCTAAAGTCCATTCAAAAGTAACTGTACAAAGAGAAACCTTCAGAACTACCGCACCTATACTATTGGTGGATGCTTGAATGAATGCTTTCAAGATATGATGGTGCAGCGATGCGGATGTAGGACGTCTGGTTACACTCTGCGAAACGGTATATTGAAGAAATAGAAAATGCGCGCACGTGCGGTGTGCAGTTATAAAGCACACGGGGGTTGGCAGAACACGAGAGAAGTGTTAGGAGAAGCACTACGCGTACTCCGAGTGCTTTATAACTGCACACAGCACAGCAAGCAAGTTTTTTTATTCGTTTTATAAAATACGAATTACATAAAGGACTAAACTGAAAGTGCGCGTGCGTGCTGTTATCTCTCATAAGGCACGCGCTCCCAACCAACCAGAACGCGAGATTTAGAGTAGTCATTTAAAGAAGTAAAATCGAAACTCATATAAAAGGCAACAATATATATATGAGTAAATATTGTTCTAGTCTGAATTTGGAATTCTATTAAATGATAACATTTTCTTAATGATCATTAATATTGGAAAAGATTGCTACTCTTTTACACCTGATACCTGATTATGATTCTTGGCACGGCGGTATTTTGCTATCTCGCGCTTTTTGGAAAGCTGCTTTCTCTGGAAGCTGTAGGCAAAACGTAAGATGAAACCGGCACTCTAAACTGATGTCATTGTGTGTTTCTGTAGGGAGCCCAGGCACTCGTGTATGCACTGCATACGACAAGAAGTGCAAACGACGTCTTAGTAAGTAAAAGTACAGAGTTCCATCCATCCATGCTTTCTCATCCATCCATCCATCCATCCACCCATCCAACCACACGTCCCACCTCGTCCATCTCTGAGAAATTCTTTAACCATGAAAACGTTTCTCTTCATTTCGTTTCCCAGTGAGAGCGTATTTCAATCCTAAACTCTGCGACTGTCTTCCACCCTGCAACCAAACTACCTACACCTACCAGATATCCTATTCATCGTTCCCTGATTCTGGTACCAAGGAAATGATGRAAAAATATGGAAAAATGCGTCTTGAATATATAAGGTAACAACTGTGCATGTGCGATATGTCTATTTACCTAGACTGAAAGATAATTATTAAATCGTGGGATCTTCCCGTGAAGTAAATAAACGGGACCAATGGACGCTATGTTCGGCGTATTTTTGTTTGTTTGTTTTTTTTCTTAAGAAAAATTTTTTTTTCTGTTAAACATTTGCAGGAAAAACTTAGTGGCTATTACGATATTTTACCAAGCTACGTCYTATGAACTGCATGAACAAAAAGGGTCATACAGTTTGGAAGCCTTTCTTGGTAAGATCAATGTTTGGGTYATGTAAAATCTTCCCATTTCAGACCACGTCATTCCCTCTTGTGAATAAGACTTTTAGTGTGAGTCACGTCCATATGTACCTATTATGCACCATCGATTTGGTATGCAAAGAAATAATATTCAAGAGAATGACACGAGAAGGCCTACTTCTTCTTGAACTATAGTTGGTGCTTTTTCACGTTCTGGCGAGTTGAGGACGGCAACGCCCAGGACGACGGCGTGTGCACGACTATTCTCGTGCTCTAGCCATCGTCTCGGCATTCCCTTCCTCGGGTGCTAGACGATACCTTTTCATTTAATACACCGCGATCATGTTGGCGGTATTAAACGTGATTTTTCATTAGTTTCCAGCATGAGCGCCACTACGCCACTATGTTTTATCATGCTAACAAGTTATTGTGCTYACCTTGTATTAACAAACCTATTCCACTCTTGAAGCGCACAGCCACCAAGTCTTCGCTCTAAACTCAAATTTAATGAGAACGTTTCACAAAAAGTATATAACTATTTCCTACTATCGCATGTGAAACTTGTGTCGTTTTACGATTATCTGCTCCATAGGATGCCCCTCGTGAAATGCAACTATTAACTAACTGGAACTATTAAGTTTAAGGTTTTCATCGATCATTTGATGTTGTATTTTAGGTGAGCTGGGTGGTAACTTGGGTCTAATGGTAGGATGCAGTGTGCTGACAGGAGCAGAAATATGTCAACTTATCATCCAACTGGTTTTCAACACTTTGGGCAATTGGATTCAAAGAGATAAACGTAAAGTCGCCTGGATGGAAGGATCCTAGGGTGCATAAATATATGGTGTTACCAGTTTGTACCYAAGCTAGACCAGAATTCACCTTGTTTATTCAACTCAGAAATGCCTATTTTGTACTCAGTATCCTTGATCTAATTAAAGACGCCCCCGGGAGACCCTGTATATACCTTGCTTACACGAGGAAAACACGCTATTATACTTTCAGTGAAATTCATTTAATCATTTAATTCTTGCTTGAAATACSTGTGCAGACCAGCTGTCTCATAATAGGTATGATTATAATACAAAAGTTATAAGTTGTGTGTGGCACTAGCAAAAAGATAGTAGCACTAGTACTAGCGTGACGTAATTGCAAATGAAGCATTACGTTGTACAAACCTTTGATTGTAAAGAGTATATYGTATAATGTCATAATTAAAAAGAAAACCATGGCAGGCCTATCTTGATGAACRAGATACATATCTAAAAAGCGAAAACAGAGAAAATAATACATGGAAGAGAAAATATAATTGTTGTAAAAATACTATGTCAGACAAATGGATGTCGATAGCGTTGAAGCGTTCATGATTATATAGAAAGATAGAGTTCACTTTGAGAATGGCTTTTTTTTTTTTTTTTTTTTTTTGGAATAGTCCTGGAGCATTAATGTAGCAAAACTAAAAAAGATTCCGTGGGAATTCTATCATACCCCTCATGTAGACTAAATTAAACAAAACCGTTGCAGGTTTTGGTCATATGTGTACACGAATGCTTAAAGAAACAATTGCATATAAAAAGCAAAATATTTGTTAGATTTCCTATTATTCATATCCTTCAAAAAATTGATAATTTTCTGCCGTAAATTTAATTAATGTTTTGCCAGCAAAGAATCCTTATATGTAGTTATCAYTGTCGATTTGTTTGTGTTTTACATGTATATGCAGTACATGTCTGTGCCCTTGTCGAGCTTTAGTGGTTCCATTTAGCATTCGCTCTGTCCCGGTTCCTCCCCCATCGTCTTGGTAGAAGTGGAGAACCCGGAAAAAGCGCTTACGATGTCTCCCGGAAGTGGCTCATCTGGACATTCAAGATTGCTGGAGCTTTGGTACAATGGATTCGACATTCCTTCCCCGCCAGTGACTTTCTTTGGGGTATCGTACATTGATTGTGCTGGATTCTCGTCCAACAGGCTCGCTTCTTCTTTCGATTTGTTTTTGGAAAYTTTTCTCCTCGGAACCGCGTACAACCCTTTTTCGTCCTTGGAGTCATCCTGCGCTTGTTCGAAAGTGCCACGGCTTTGGAACATCGGGTTTACGGCGGCAATGTCAGGAATGCTATCATCATCATCGGTTTGCAGGGCTTTTTGCTTTTTACCAGCTTTCTTTTTTTTCTTTTTGTTTTTCGTCTGAACTGATTTTTTGTCTAGTTTTTCGTTCTGAGGCTCATTTATACCGGTCAATGTTGTAATCTCTTCAGGATTATGTTTTCTTGGTGTYTGGTACAGAGGTTGAGAGGCAGACTCACTCAATAACACCTTGACTGGCTCTGCTTTATCAACATCAACTTTCAAGTTAACCGACTGAAAAGTCTGGTAAATAGGGTTCGAAAACCCTAGATCTTCAGGCACAGGATCGTCAGTATCATCAGGTCTTGAATAAAGAGGATTTTCTGATATATCAAAGCTAGGTTGGACATTTCCTKGGATGCCGTACATTGGGTTAAGAGTCCCTTCACCTTCTCCATCATTCGAGAGTTGATGACGCTGCATAACWTCAGTCTTAAAGCCATCAGTATCCAGAAGTTTGTCATGTATTTGGAAAGCTTGCAGCTGACGTTTTCTAATGCGATCTCGTCTATAGAAATAGAGATACTGTTTGAGTGAGTGGAAACTTATCGGCTAGATGCAGTGGAACTTCTATTTARATGCAAGCCTCTATTTAGCTGCGACAGAGGCCAGTCCACGATTCTGATTAGAGGGTTCTTTCCAGAAACAAACATTCATTTGACATTCTGCGAGTAAATTTTCATAGGAAGCCAAATAGCCCCCCTCCTCCTCCTTCCAATCCGTCAAAGGAAAATAAAGTTGTTAAAGTTTCTAAAAGGGCTGGGTCCTTGAACTAAGTTATAACTTTTATTTAGAAGTCAATCAGCTGCATTTAACGGCCATTTGACGATTCCCCGAGGGCGGCCGCTTAATAGAAATTTTACACGCCAATTAAATGCATGCATGAAATGCATCGTTCTTGTTTTGCGAGGGTATTAATTTCAAAATAGCCAGAGGCAAAAAAACATGTGGCCAATCGACCACAACTCACGGCTATAGAGCGTTTTCACTCAGTCTCTAGAGAGTTAACTGACTATAGAGATGGCAGCCATATTCGCGTACCTCACAAAACAAACTCAGACTCGTAMCCAGTCGTCATTTGTTTCACGCTTTTTTGCRCGCGGTGGCTTTTGGGAAGGAGAGAGAAAAAGTGACGACGCTTCGCCTTTCTCTTCCGTCCTTCCCCTGATGCAYYGGGAACTCWCTAAATCCTTCCCATCAACCACAGCGTGAGATCAACAAGACAAGAGCAGCGACTGGGTACGAGTTTGAAACAAACTAGTGACAAAGTTMTTGTCAAAGGTACAGCAATATGGCGGCTGTGACGTCATATGAAAACTGACTTACCTTAATAGAATTASTCCTAAAAGAAGAAGTAGAAATACTAGAACACCTGCACCAATRAAGACATAGTACATATAAGGATGGAGACCAGCCTTGGCGTCTTGTTCTCGTGCTCCTGTTCTTGGCATGGGATGAACCCGGACCATCGTTTCGTATGCCGCGTCGCATATCTAAATTTGGAATACATAAATGAATAAAACGTTTGACAGAGAATKGAGAATTAATAAAACGGCCACATGTTTTCTTAGTCGTGAAATTGACGACTTTTAAAAAGCTTCTTAAAACGCCAGTGCATGCAGGCTTAGCCTCGAATCCAGGAGCTGCTTGTTTTGTTATTYTAATTTCTGCTCTTGTTTACCGACCTCAGAAGTGAGGCTAAGCCCRCATACACTGGAGTTTTGAGRATCGTCAKTACTCGGCTACGTGGTCAGCAAACCTACCTTTTGCCCAAAATCTGAATTTTGGTTTTTCTTTATTGTAAAACACGTCTTGTTCAGGGACACGAAGAAAGTATAYTGTGGAACCGATAAGTCCTCATGTTTTACAACAAAATACACTGCCGTGTACTCGATATTATCACTACTGGCTCGACGCTCTCTCTTTTGGCTCTCTGAGAAGGGTTTGAGGAAGACAGTAGAGATTTCGACCACAAATAAATCTGTGGCAACGACCTGGGATTCGTCTGCCTCATCGTTATTTAGTTCCTTCAAAGGATATTGTACGTTGCCTTTAACGAAAGCTTGCAATTGGTACTTCCAGTGCGATGTAGCCACGAGCTTAAGAGGAAAAACTTTGGGTTTAAAATAAATAGGAATAACGAAGTCGCTATCAACACACACATGCGATTCCTCGGAAGTTTCAGTCTTTAGATTTCGTGGGACACATACTTGGTGAGTTGTATCGCAAGGGTTTGGATTACAGGCTTCRGTACTTCTCTGACATTGCGTCCCCATGTAGCCTTCAAGACAGGCGCAACTAAATCTATTAACCCCATCAGTGCAATTCCCATTACCAAAACATGGATTTGAGTCACATTCGTTGATTTCTACGGAGCAGTTTTTTTCAGTATAGCCCGGCAAACAAATGCAARAGAAGTCTGAATCGTAGTTCGTCCTGTTCGTGTTTACACACGTAGCATTATTAAARCACGGATTGGACGCGCAGTAATCCATAGGATCACAGCTCGTATTTCCTGTRTAGCCTTCGTCACATGTACAAAGGTAAGCATTCAACCCGTCGTGACAGGTTCCATGTGGAGAACAAGGGCTTGATTCACACTCGTTAATATCAACACAACTAACGCGCCCGTCACCGGTGAAGCCTGGTTTACAATGGCAAGTGTAGCTGGTCCCGTTCACGCGCACGCAGGTTGCATTTTCATTACAATCGTGATACGTATCGCAAGGATTAACACGTTCTACATAGACAAAGGCTGATTCGTTGAAGGAGGCCGCAGGTTGTCCATTATCTTTCGCTTCAATAAGAACATCATAGACGTGGTCTGGTAGTGAATTATCGTAGCTAAGAGGGTTCCGGCTGCTCAGATACCATCCTCCTGTCTCACTTTCATTGGTTGACACACTGATGCATGTATTTGTTATGTCAAATTTGTCTTCATGACTTAAGAGAGAGAGTTTAACTGTTTGGTTGAGATCAGGGTCTTTGACRTTAATCTGTGCGACGCATCTTCCRCRTGCGATGTCTTCCCTTACASTGACATTCATGGCTTCAAAAAATGGAGGTTCGTTTACGTTGATAACGTRAAGTATGAAGTCRCGTGACGCGCTTAGTGGCTTGGCTCCACTRTCTGTTGCTAGGATACGAACAGTTACAGTGTGGTTTGGTTGTAARGCYTCATAGTCAAGATAGGAAGGGTCTTTCACTACCAAGAGATTGGAAKCTTGATTCACCTGAAGAAAAAAAGACAAAAATTAAGGTTGTCTTACAAGAATAGACCTTTCCCGAATTCGCTTGAGTGGTGACCACGACAATGACCCCAARTCAAGGCTGAACTTTAGCATACTAGTTGGATAAGTAGTAATCTGCYATTCTAAATATTATCGCGGATATTGTAGCGATTTACGAACTTCTTAATAGGCGGACGCACTGTGGCATGGCAGTCGTGTCTTTGATCCTTGTGTATGTGACGTCATAGCCGCCATGTTRGTTGACATAAACAAACGATATGGTCTTAGCTTCTTTTGTTATGCTAAACAACGTGGCGGTCATGTCTTTTGTCCTTACRTATGTGACGTCATAGCCGCCATTTTGGACGACTTTACAAAACGATTTCCATYGTTTTTTCATTGAAAGAGATGTACGTCACTTATACGTTCAGTCTATCAATCAAAATATACACGAGGTGCTTTCTATGGGAATTACCTCGAATATCATTGAAGAACCTCCAACTACTCTAAATGCGTCATTCTGRTTGAAGTCTGGTTCTTGACAAGAGAGAGAACCAACAACATAACCCTCTGGAGGATGTTCTGGCAGAGGCTGTGTGGTGAGTGWGATGTTGAATGGTGGTTCATTCACGTCACTGACGGCTACGGAAAACGATAGGATCTTGGAGTACGGAGGGTTACCGCTGTCCGTGCATTGAACGGTTACTTCAATGGAAAAAGAAACATCGTATAAGTACATTGCATGAAGTATTTTTCCTCATAAATAACGGTGTTATCCTTGATTGCAGATTCACCGTCAACTAATGTAAAGAATGTGCACCTTGAAGAATACCAATGTTTATAATTAGATCTTATTAACCGAGCGGTAGGTCTGTACGGGATAATCTTGACCGAGGTCGGAATGTACAGATCGAGCGCAGCGAGGTCTGTACCCGACCGAGGTTAAGATTATCCCGTACAGACCGACCAAGTTCGGTTGATAAGAGTTTTATTATATGACCACTTTTCATTGAAAAGGACAAAATGTTTTCGCCGTAAGATTAATATGCGATCGGACCGGTTAATACCAGTCCGCGATGCGATCTATCCAATCAGATTGCTCGATTTGCTAGTGTCCAGGCTCTAAGATTCACGGTCATATAATAAATATCTATATTGTTAGCAAGGCTAATCTCGTCATAAATGATACTGAAGTCAAGGGTCCGGATCACAGCAATATTTACCGAATGTGAAAGATTATGATTGGAAATAATAATTTTATTACTAATAATTAATTGAATATTTTCCCGCTCTAATAACTCGCTGGGTTACCATTRATATTCTTGTTGTACATTGTCTCATAGTCCAGTCCAGCGGCGTCATTCACCAGCACCTGCGCAGTAGACTTCGCTTGACTAMGTGGAATAACAAAATACTTCTGCCCGTTTAACAACACGCAAGTATGACTCTGTGAAATATCCTGGTCCACTACGAATAGGTTGGCCAGCGGTGTACCCCCCGGACTGTTCTCGGGGACCAAAATATTTTTCTCGTCGTTGAGGGGAAGAGACGACGTCATATTGATATCACTTGGTGGATCGTTGCTGTCCAGTACGGTAACAGTCACCAAAAGCTTGATTGTTGGGGACAAAAATTAAAWATAATCAATCAATTTTGTTCTTGACTACTTGTGTTTTTGTTTCTTTTACATTTTCCCTCAAACTAAATAGGCAGATTGGCAGCAATATGGACTTGCTCCGAGGGGAGCGTCGGGAGTCAACCATGTCATAGTTACATGTCGATCTAGCTAGATCAGAATGTAATGTGAAATAAAAGCCCAGGCTTCACAGCGAGCAAAGTTCTAGTGCAGCTTAAGTATACCCAACATTATTTAAGGTATTCTTCATTTATATCATCCTGAGCAGAATGCATCGTGTAATAAAATCCAATGTATCAGTTGTCTTTTCGACGAACAACATTCTAGTGCATATCTTAGGTACACGCAGCACTATGTAAGGTATTCATTTAGATCAATAAGTGTTTGTACCCAAGCTAGACCAGAATGYATCATGGCCAATTTTTCAACTATAGGCAATGCACATCGTTGTGGCTAGGTAAAAAAACAACACCTTGATAAGCTTTCACGGCAAGGTTAGTGCTAGTGCTGGTACCACTTGAAAGGTACCAGGTACACCAGGACGTGTTATGTTCACTAAATCGAATGTTTGTAAAGATAGATAGATTTTCAAATATATAAACTATTACCTCGGCACTCATCGGAGGTTGCCCGTCATCAGTGACTTTAATTGATACATTTATCTGTGGGGCAGTTTCGTAATCTAGATTTCTATTATTGAGAACAAGAGTGCTTCCATTGAYACTAAAAAGATCTGCAAATAAGAAAATGGTCAACATTCAACGTGCGTCCACTGCGCTATGACTGGTAGGTACTGAGAGTTGCGTCAAAGTACGTTACCATGGTTACGCAAATCTTAGATGCTTCCTTAAGAAATCAGTAAGGAAACAYATACTCCCTATTCAACGTGCTACCATGCGCAACAATTAGTATAAATAAGCAGAACTTACAAGCATAATCGGTGAAGCCCAGAGTCGCACGAGAAGGTGTACAATATTAGGAAGGTAACGCCTTTTACATATCTTAGGTGAAAGGACAGGGAACGTCCTAATATTGAGTGAAGTACCCGTGAAATAGATATTAGGCTAATACACCGCATTAGTAGACCCTAATTCCATTGTTTAATTTGGGTCTATTTTTCTATTAGAGGTTGACTGACATTTTTTATTTCACGGGTTAAATGCCTTCACTCTAACTTTACCAGGCGTTACGTTTTCCCCACCCTCTCTCCTACATAAAGCACACACACTCACATGCAGCATCTTCAAAGTGCCCTATAACGATAYGTTACCAGTTTAATTAAAGCATTTAATCTGCTTTGACGTACCCTTGGGGCTGATAACGACAAATGTATGCGAATGGTTCGTGTCCTGGTCTTTTGCCGACAGTTCACCCACTACTGTACCCGAGGTGGCGTTTTCGAATATTCCAGAAGAATTCAAAAAGACTGCACTTGGTGGATCGTTGTTGTCTGTTACCTTGAACCAATGAAACAAAACACATTACCATATCTATCTGTCAGCCATATTGGTTTGGAGGACAGGAGAATTTCTCGCTCCTATCCTCCCCTTAGGGATTTTGTCGTATTTTATCTAATGCATTCTAATATATCGTTTTGAAGTATAAAGTGGAAGCTAGAATTTGGTAGTCAAATAAAGCAATCGTGCAAACGTCGGGTGGCACCCAAACTGTCACTTACATTGACAATAAAGGCGTTGGTCGTATTAAGAGGTGGGATACCGCTGTCCATTGCTACGATTGTTACTTGATAGGAGTTCACTTTCTCGAAGTCTAACGGTTTTGTGGTTACCAGGAGCYTTCCGACTATCTTAAAAGCATCCAAACTTGGGGACTGGATTTGAATGCTCAGTGAAATATTGGCAAATGTACTGCCCTGTTGATTACAATTAGAAGAAAATGAAAAAATGAGAAAATAGATTGAATAGATGGATGGCTGAGGAGGTGGATGGATGGATTGATGGATGGATGGATGGCTGAGGAGGTGGATGGATGGATGGATGGCTGAGGTGGATGGATGGATGGATGGATGGATGGATGGATGGATGGATGGATGGATGGATGGATGGATGGATGGATGGATGGATGGATGGATGGGCCTAAAAATTTGTAGTTAACTGACAAATAACCTAAAATTAGTAGTTAACAGTTGTCTGATATTTTATCATTTTAGTTAATATTATGGTCAGCGCTTGTAAAATATTAACMTTTAACCGACAATTGGCCTAAAAAAAACTGACGATCGGGTACCCTCCTTCACACTYCCCAATATGGCGGCGATGAAGCCAATAGTTTTCAGATGACGAACTTAGTTAATTCCATAGCAACGATGACGTCAAGGTTGCCATAGAAATAGGTGTGTCGATTGAAAATAAATTCCTTTTCTTAAGCTGTCTTTTTTCGCCTCCAAAAACTAACGATACAATTGTTTTATTCCCTTTAACACTCGAGTTTGAAAAAACTAATCTCGTGATATATATTGGTAATGGGATCATCTGCTTCAAGAAACTTTGATAGTAAACGAAAACCAGGGCTTAAAAGGATGACAAAGCACAAGTTTGATGACCAAATCAAAGGAGGAACACTTTGGGAGCRAAATACCAGCACAATCGACCAAGTGCAAGTTAGTATCCTTCAAGAAGATGCCGTGGTTTGCATTCCCAGCACAACCTTGCTGGATATCACGCTTCAGGAACGTGGAAATGACAATAAAGTGCTTGTTGTTGAAATACAGAATCGCAATTAAAGGATACATTACACTATTGGGCAGTTTAAACCACGAACAAGTGAGGTACAGAATAATGCCCCGATTTTAGTGACATTTAAYTTGTAAAATATTTTGCTTTTGTTTTATTGAATATTCGAGAAAATCTGATAAATTCTTGTCAAACGYCAATGAGTCACAATCTAATGATAAAAAATAAGTAATAGACATTGGACTAATATTATTCTGGCTACGGACTGAAGTGCAAGTTAGTTTGTTTCTGTTGATTATACCATATTTATAACGACTATTTTTTGAATAAAACTGATTCATCATTTTAAAAAATGTTTGGAGCAAAACTGAGGAAAAAAATAGCTGGATTGAGCGCTTTCACCAATGCAAAAGCACCCCGCTCCGCCCCGCCGGCCTGAATACGCCAAATCGAAACTCATGATAATTATTTTACAGCCATTCTCAATCACACGCGCCCTCTAGCGATTGTTTCTGTCCCAACGAAGAAGGTGTTGGTGGACGTCAATCACAAAGGCGTTTCCATAACAATGTCGGGAAACACAAAGCTATAAGGGCACGTGCCTATAGAATGTCATGGAAACGCCTTGATTGACGTACAMCAAAAGCTTCTTCGTCGCGACAGAAACAATCGCTAGAGCGGCGCGTGTGATTGAGAATGGCTGTAAATCATTTGAAGACGCAGGCTGATAGTTGCTCTACTTTCCGGGGTATCAGGGTCCAGGACATTTATCAAGACATCGATAACCCCCGGGATACCGTTCTCGGGCATCGATGGTTTACTAATTTACACCACAGCGACATTCGTCATAATTATTTTAAATTATTTGAAGACGCAGACTTATTGTTGCTCTACTCACCGGGGTATCCGGGTCCAGGACATTTATCAGGCCAACGATATCTCCCGGGATACCGTTCTCGGGTATCATCGTGTTACTGATGGTCAGATTATATGGAGCCTCGTTGACATCTAGCACTATGATTGTGAAGRTTGTCGATATTGATAAAGGTGGTGAGATACGTTCACTACAATTTACCTGTAAAATGAAAGAAAAGGTATGAAAAGACGAAAAAAATCATTAGAATATACGAAGATTGAAATATAGTAGGAACAAGGGAAATAATAAGTGGAAAGATAGACGGACAAAAAAGGAGAATGATAGTATAAACAAGAAAATCACTGTAACGGTGTTTATTTTATGTTAAGCGGCGTGGAACACCTTCATGTGCAATGGACCCTTCTCAAAAGTATCACGGATACGAGGATAATTTGGAAMTACAAAATAAATCAAGCTTTTTCTCAATGGAATTTGTGGCATTTCTCCTATCGCTTTTCGCCTATCGCCTATTGGCGATGACAATGTTTATTGAAATACATGTACACAAGTTCAAACTTACGCTAACTGAATAAACGTTCTGTTTTTCAAAATCGAGAACATCCCTAGACACAGCTAACGATAAATGATTAACAACCTATAAAACCAATAAATAGATACCAATTAATATTATTTAGTTAGTGTTTATTCATACATTATATACGCCAGTTTCGCAATCGATGTATACCACTGTTTTTGAAGACCACAGACGCATTAGCAAAGGCCTAGTCTCGTTTGTAAGTTTGTAATTTCACATGAGCCGAACCTAATTGAAACAATGGATAACCAGGCGTTCTTCTTTGATGTCATTAGGTTTGGCTCATGTGAAGTTCTACGTTTGACATGAGCCTAAGCTATTCACAGATAACAACATGGCTGCGATAAATTACGTGCAAACAAAGATTTGCCTCATCATATTCACTCGTGCGAAATCTTTTCTAAAGTGAATAATAGAAAACTAATGGTCTTACCTTAAAAGGAGCTTGATCTGGGTTTGTGACGTAACAGGTGAATTTTTGCCAGGAAATCGCTACATTATCAGGATCCTGAACAGACAGTTTCCCGACTATGCTGTCAGAGGCCGTGTTCTCGAAAACCTAAATAAAAATTCAAAAAATTTTAAATGARTTGTTGCAAATGAAAAACAAGTTCTGCAAATAATAGATGATTTGCTGCATGTCAGACAAGTTGCTGCAAATAAGAAACAAGTTGGTGCCTGTTTGACGAGTCTAGTGTTGTGAAACAAGTCCTCGGCAAAGAGTACGTAGTACTTAGAAAAAATTTTAAATTTTTAATTAAATAAAAGACAGTTTTTAATTTTTGACGATTTCTCAACTGAAACGGCTTGTAATCGAGTAAAAGTTACCGTGGGAAAAAACATGCAAAAATATAAGTAAGTATAAGTTTCCGGTCACCCATCCGGATATTAACTTCGCTCAACCGGACTTGACTTAGTGTCATTGAAGCCCAAGTTTTTTCCACTGGACCACGGTTCCAGGTGAATCAGCATAACAATAGCCGTGAAAACAATGCACCAGATAGACTAAACTTTTTAACATCAAATTTTCAAYCGATTCCGTGCGTGGCAGAGATGCAAGGGATTAGCCGTTATGGTCTGGGGGCCGGCTGGTCTCTCCCCTGATGCTCCGGCTAGAACATTTTCTTGCGTAATTCGTACACCCAAGGGCAGAAGGATTTAATTGCCGTCAGGTCCGAAGTCCATACGCCGCCTCAGCTCTGCGGATGTCTCGGGGGTATGGCAAAGTGGGATCGATTTTTTAAAATTTATTTGTTTTATTTCTGTAGGTGGGTTCGAGCCCCATCGTATCCGGATAAGATTTTTTATTTATTTTTAAATGATTATTATTATTATAAATTTAGCACTATATTTTTAGAATAGTAGGAATGAAAGAGACTAAATCTTTTTAGAAAGAGTGACTACTCCATTCCTTTTTTAACTCATATCCAGAATTAACAGTTAAGTAAGTAATCTTGATCGGAAAACTCGAATTTAATTTCCTGATTCAAAATGTCTCCTGGGAATAGTTTACTGACGAAAACTTTTACTGTCCTTGGTTTCAATAGGCCCTTTGCAACTAAGCAATCACATGCTGATTAATTCACTGAGAGCAAATGAATTTTGATTCCCATAGGGGAAATTTACTGGAGAGCAAACAAACTTTCTACAACCTTTTTTGAGAGATCGTAATAAAACTACATTTCGTAACACACTGGATACACATCTATTCATTCAGTTCTTTACAAGTAGCTAAAAAGAATCACCAAACTAATATGAAAACAAAAATTTTGCTCACCAGTACAGATACGTGACCGTTAACTGCAAAGGGCCTGTTCTCGCGTTATTTTCTCTGTATGTATAGAGGCTTTGCACCTTCACGTGATGGCAGCCATGACAGGAGGCAGGGACAATGGAATCTGACCTCATCTGACTTACATGAGAAAGAATTCAGTCTCCCAGTGGGAAAAGACTATTGTTGTGCCTCCTGTCATGGCTGCCATCATGTGCAAAGCCTCTATTGCTATAATTTCTGTTTATATGGTACTACTACGACAACTACATGACTATCCAATGGGGCCAGCATTTCCCAGTTCCCGCGCACAAATAAATACTCAGCCCCCACTCGTTTTTGTTCAGAGCTTTCATGATTATCATGCCTCCTCGAGATGAAGAGCGCTGTAATATTTCTAAATAGAAACTTAAAAGCTGCCGGGCATTTAACGCGTGACTGTTTAATTCTCACTGGAATTAAAATCTTGTCYCACARACAACAGTATCTGTTTTAAAGAGATCTACGAGGATAACGAGGCATTTGAGGGACATAGCAACGGTACCTAAGGGGAATCGGAACCATGAATAGAGGTTTTGCACCACCACGTGACTGCAGCCATGTTAGATTCGCCCCATGTAAGGGAATGCGGAATCCACGAAATTTTAGGCCTTGGAATCCGTAATCCAGAGTCTCGGAATCCGGAATCCAGCGCTTGGAATCCGGAATCCATCATATGTCCGGATTCCCTTACATGGGGCGATCTTAGATGGCAGGAACAATACAATCGTTTTACATAAGAAAGAATTACATTTCCAAGAGCAAAGGAATTTTATTGTTCTGCCATCTAACCACAGGCAGCCCAAGCAGTATTATGTGTTGGGCACGTGATGTACAAAGCCTCTATTGGAGCTGAACTGATCATGCAAATGTTCTTATTTATTACGTTGAATGAAGAAAATATACTGCTGAATACCTTGTTGTTACTCAGTGTGATGGCYGTTGGAGCCTCGTTGACRTCTTTYACTAGTATGCTTATATACCCCGTGACTGAGAGAGGAGGGGAACCATTGTCGACGGCACGTACRAGAAGCGTGTAGTTAGAGTATTGCTCAAAGTCGAGAAGTCTTGAGGAAAGGGTGATTGAGCCAGACGTTGAACCGATGGAGAACATGTTTAGAAGACTACTGTCATTTCTAGAAATRGATAACAAGTATGAGAAAGTGTCTGCAGATTGAGATTGCTTATTRTGAGTTACTGATTGGGGGAATGGATTTCTAAAAGAATCAAATAGACATGGCCGACAAGTTAAATCAAAGAAACCTGAAATTTTTTAATGATTCTTCGTCTTTTTTCTATTTCTATTTATTACCGTTTTCCACTGTGTCCCTCTGCCAAAACRCTCTCAATCTGGTAAAAGTGCGTCTGTCCAACATCCTGGTCAGCGGTGTAAACATTTCCTATATAAGTCGCTGGAGCACTATTTTCGAAAATGGAAAGATTTCCGCTGGCTTTAACACTTGTGGGCGCGTCATTGCGATTCAATACCGTTATTTCAAACTTCCTTGTGACCCTAAGGCCTGTAGAATAAAAATATAAGGAATATACTGAATCCGTCTGCAGTGCCCAATCTAAAAAAGTACATTGATTATATAAACCTCTTTATCGTCCGGGTTAAGCCATGGAAAACTACCTGAACTATGGATTGCGAAGCATAGCTTCATAATCAAATCTGGCAACCGCCATCAGCTCAAAGTACGTTACGTTAGACAACATAGTTGGAAGAGGAAACCAAATACAGTCTAGTTCCAACTGGGTAGTAAGAATTAATATTATAAAATATGAAATAACCACCTTTATTATCAGTTGACTGGAYATAGATTTCCCACAATGGTTTAGTCTCGTAGTCCAGGCTCTGAGATGTTTTCAAGGTATACCCTTCTACAACGAATGGCAAGCCACTGCCATTAACAACAGAATAACTAAAAGTCTGGACAGCGGCAAACAAATTATCCGGATCGACTGTGTCGAACGTTCCTATGACAACAATCCCAGAATTCTCGGCAACCGTGGWGMCGGACAAGCTGATACTCGTCGGAGSCTCGTTTTCGTCCATGATGTCGATTCTAAAGGTTTTCTCGATATAGAGAGGAGAGGAACCGTCGTCGTAGCAACGCAGAATGACGTCAATGGATTGTGTGACTTCATAATTTAAATCTCCATCCACGAGTAACTCGTTTGATGTGTGGTTGACAATGAAGGGGACATTGTTGAATACGGAGCAAGTGTGTACTTGCCAGGGTCCTCTCGAGCCTTTGTTATCTGGATCTTCCACATAAATCTCGCCAACGAGGAAACCTTGAGGTGAATTTTCTGTTACGGTTTGGTTGGTGAGTGAGATACTTGTAGGCTTTTCGTTGACATCTCGAATCTGGAAGCACATGAGAGAATATAAACAAACAAAGTTCATAAATCTACATTGTTTTACAACCGTAGCACTTTTCGTATGACTGTGAAAAGCTCGCGACAAGAACACGGTCTTGACACGGCAAGGGATACGCCAGTTCAATCACATTGGTTGAGAATTTACTCTAGTATCCAATCAAATACCCGGAACACGGCAGAAACACGGCGCGGACACGCGGTCACACCAAGGTCATGGCACTGCTAGACCAATAATATTGCGCGAGAAAAAAATCCGCCAATTGAAATCCTTGAAAACATCACAGTCACGGCACGGCACGCATATGGCACTGAGCTTTTCACAGTCATGCGTCACTGCTCTAATAGACAACGGATAAGAAACCTGTGACCACAGAAACTGACGTGCAGACAGAGAGACAGACAGACAGATAGACTGAGACAAAAAAAAAAACTGGTTAGACTTACCTGAATGGTAAACGATTTATCAAGGAATAATCTAGGTCGTCCATTGTCGATAGCCCTCACAATGACAACCAAAGAGGRTTGTTTCTCAAAATCAATGTTGGCGTACCGCGAGGTATATATCTTGGTCCCTTTGAGAACGAACTTCCAGCCGCCATTACTAATCATCCTGAAGGTATGCAMTTGATTTGCATCCTCGTCTACTGCTGCTAGATCACCAACAAACGCGTTGTTAGCGTTCTCATCTACGTATCCAACATCAATTCCAGAAAGTGTGATATTACTGGGCTTGTCATTCACGTTGAGGATTTTGACTGTGAATTTCTTGGWATGAAACAGACCATTTGGATCAGTCACGCGCACAACTATGTCTTCTGATTTGCTTTGCTCATAGTTCAGAAGACCGCTGACCACTAGATTAACAGAACACATGGATTCTATTCCAGGGATAGTRGTTTGGTTCTTGCACGTGACGGACGAACCGAGGGAGAATTTCCCGCCTGCGTCGTCAAGTAGTTTRAAAGATAGATGCTGGACTTCGTCATGGTCCAAAGAGATTATCGTCCCCACTACGTCCCYYTGGGGRGAGTTTTCGTTCACTTGTGGCATGTCGTCAGGGAAGGTTTGTTGTCCATCTTGAGAAGTAATTGATGTATTTACTGGAGCTTCGTTAACGTTTTCCACGAAAATGCTAAATGTCTTGTTTAACTGGGGAAAAAGTGAGTTTACAAAAACTGAGTAAAATATCTGGTCAGGGGCAGATACAGTTAGGATTTTGGCAAAGGTCGAGCCGCCGATATTAAACAATGACAGTAGAATAGACCCCTTCACAGTTCCCTGCGCCATCTTGAAAGGTAGCCGTGCCTTTGCATCGAAATGCTGAGCTTGCAATGATAGAGACATGTGAATAATTGTTCAAGGCGTTAAAAAAGGTCTCTAMCATTGCAAGCTCACCGTTCGTCTCGCTTCGATGCAAAGGCACGGCTACTTTTCAAGATGGCGCAGGGGACTGTGAAGGGGACTGTTGTGACGGGCTAACTGTGAAAAAGAAAACTATTTTGTATTTGATATTTCCTAATTAGATTAGATCCGCGGCTCTGCTGATGGATTCTTATATCCTGAAAAAAAGGTCGTTTGCAGGACGGCGTCATTGAATTGCCTAAATCACTGCTAAAATGCTTCGGGAATTTTAAGACCAACATGCTTTACTTACCGATATTGGCTCGGTCCCATTGTCTCGTACTTGTACAGTCACCATATGAACTCTACTAGTTTCGTAATCCGTGTTCTTGGCTTTGACAAGAAAACCCGCAGAATCAATAATAAATCTACCGTTATCATCATCCACAAGCGAGAAGGACAAAACTTGGAATTTGTCCTCGTCTTTAGCAGATAGCTGACCAATCCTCGTTCCAATAGTTGCATTCTCTTTCACAATATAACCAGATAACTTCAAATCACGTGGTCTATCGTTGACGTCACGCACAGTGATGGTRAAGATTTTCTCGTTGCTTAGAGGAGGAGATCCGTTATCGGTAGTGCGCACGCGCACAACGTGTTGCCGCCGAGCCTCGAAATTGATTTTGCAGAAAGCACCACCGTAGTTTAAGCAGTCATCATTTTGCAAAGCTACCATTAACCTATTTTGAAYGAGTTTGAATAAACCAGATGCTGTGTTGGTCAGTGTGTAAGTGTGGTTCTGGTTTACATCAGGATCTTGACAGGACAGTGTTCCAATGATAGTGTCCATTCCACTGTTCTCATTTACAGCCGACTCWGACAGTGTGATCTTCATAGGCTGCTCGTTAACATCTAAAATTAGACATATCATTAGAGCGTAAAAATAATTGAATTACAAAACAAGGGACGGTCACGGTACGGAAAATTTAAATGACAACGTYGAACCGATCACAGCGCGCGAAATATCAAATTAGAAAATCGCACCGTCATGCTAGTACTGCATGGGTCTTCTCGTGCGCAACCATTAAATAAAGAAATGACACTCTAGCGAATAGCACTMGGTCTGAAATGGGAAAACATTACGCCCAAGGTAAAGAGGTCTATKAACTATCTCTAGTTTTCCTCTTCCTCCATCTCTGGCAAGATGGCCACCTTCTCGTCGAAGTAGTTTATTGCGTGACAATGGGAAAATGCAACTTACCGACTACAGAAATGGTAAATAAATTGGTAACTGATTTAGGTGGTTTGCCACTATCCGTAGACTGAATGGTCAAGTTCCAGCTCGCTTGGGTCTCGTAATCCAATGATCTTGTCGTGTTCAAGTAATTACCATGGATAATAAATGGAAGACCAGCGGTATCACCAATAATACTGTATGTAAAGTATTGCCTTATTGAGCCCTCGTTGTCAGGGTCAGCGGTACTTAGAGTGCCTTAAAAATTTAAAAATAAAATTCATTTTAGTAATACTTAAAAGCACTTCAATATAGTGTTTTCACTCACGTGAGAAGGCAGTCATATTGGTGTACCTGACTAAACAATTAACTCTCTGCACAGTTTTTGCATAATAGAGTTCAATTCCCGGAAGTTAGAAAATGCATTGTTTTGGTATACCAATATGGCAGTCATGGTGTCTAAAAGAATACAGATAATAGCTGCCATKCATCTCTTCCAGCGAGGAAAGGAGGACAAAAGATGCGACGGCCATAATGGTTGACATAACAAAAGAAACYGAGACCAAGCCTTTCGTTAAAGTCAATCAGCATGGCAGCTATGACGTCAAATACCCTCCAAGAATAATGTAAACGTTTGTATTGTTTCCTATGAGAATAAAAGAGTGCTAGACATGGCCGCAATGTTGGTTGACATAGCAAAAGTAATCAAGACCAAGCCTTTAGTCAAAGACTGCTATGATGACGTCACATGCACCAGGCCCAGGAATTGTCCCAAGACTTACCAACTACAGAAGGCGAAGAGTTCTCTGCCACACTGCTACTCGATAAAGCTATCTTACTTGGAGCTTCGTTCACATCATCGACAAACACGGAAACGTTCTGTTGAAGGTTCAGGCTCGGCGTCCCATTATCCACACAGTTCACGATAATATCATGTGTGGTAGCTTGTTCGTAGTCCACAGTAGCTTGATTCACCTTGAGCACATTGTTTTCAACTACAAATTTTCCAATCTGACTTCCAACGACGCTGCAAGTATGTGACTGKCGCACAYYTTGTGGACCAAGATTATCGGGGTCTGTTACGTTCAACGAGCCAATCACAGTGCCGGGTTTGCTGTTCTCAGTCACGTGACTATTGKTTAGTCCAATCATTGTTGGTGCTTCGTTTARGTCAAGAACAGTTAYGGAGAAGTCTTTGRTGTGCTTTAAGGAAGGGGAACCRGAGTCTGTCGACTGGATAGAAACACTGTATAAAGACTGTTTTTCAAAGTCTAAATTTGCTGAGTTGGAAACGAAAAGTTTGTCACCTCGCACTACAAAACGACCACTAGYATCATTAGTGAGAGTGTAAGTAAATGTCTGCGAGGCGTCTTCATCTGTGGTTGCCAACACACCAACTAAAGCCCCGTTGGAATTTTCATACACATTTGCACTTCCTCCACCCCCTAAAGTAATATTTGTCGGCGCGTCGTTCTGATCAAYCACGGTGATTGACAGCTGTTGTGTAGTGAACAGACCGTGGCTGTCAGTGGCTCTGACAGTGATAGTATAGYCTCTCTTCTCCTCGTAGTTYAATGATCGCTTTAGTTGCAGAATAGTCGTACATTTTGTCTTATATTCAGGCATGTTAGTGACTGCAGCACATGTAGGTTTGGAGGAGTCCAAGATAAAGGTGCCGTTGGCATCATCATCGAGCCTGAAGGACAGTACTTGATTATAGTCATGGTCCAACGCTTCTAGAGTACCTGTCACAGTTCCTTGTGGGGAGTTTTCTTTGACGCGAGCGTCGTTTGTCGGAAAGGAGCTTGGCGCACCAACAGATGTTATTTGAATTTTGACAGGCGCTTCGTTTACGTCAAGRACCTCGATGACGAAAACCTTTTCAATCTGAAAAATATGTAGTGAAAATCAAAACATAGTGAAACTAGATAAATGTTACAATAATAATTATAACAACTTGATTATATTATTAACTTGATCTTAGTTGAATAATAATAAATTAATAAATTTGCGGCCCTCCAGACATATCAAAATTCATTAAAAGGAATCCTTATTTTACGAGTAAGAATGCTGCTCTGTCTAAGTAGCACTTAACAGCAAGTGCTGGCTAACAAACCTGTGGCCCTTGGACTGCCGAAACATGTCTATTAAAAGAGTCATATTATACCTGAAGATTATTACACAATTTCTGCTTGTTAGACCCTTTGAAAACAAAGTATAAATACAAACCTTCATCGCTGGACGACCATTATCAGTCACRACAGCACGAATAGTGTGTTGTTTTTGCGTCTCATAATTCGTACTATTCGCTTTGTACAAATATCCACTAGAGTCTACTCTGAATCGTCCACCATCATCATCAGCRAGARAATACGACAAGGACTGCCCARCGTCYTCGTCACTGGCGTTAAACTGACCAATCAGGGAGTCAATTGTGGCATTCTCTTTCACTCTGTTATCGGATARCTTTAGATCACGTGGTTGGTCATTGACGTCACGGATGAGTATGACRAGGTCTGTGTCGTAGAAAAGCGRRGGAACGCCGTTATCTGTACTGCGCACGCGTATACGTTGTTGTCTTGCTGCTTCGTAGTTTAGCAAACAGTGGCTTCCTCCCTGAGACAAGCATTGCTTGTTTGACTGCGCTACCTAAGYGTATGACAGAAAWATATAAATACGTATCAAAATTCTWACTCATAGATAGACTMTGGGCAGATCAAACTCAGGRCACGGMAAACTCRCARTCTTAATTGGGATTTAGCGTGTTAGCTTTTGCAAAGGTAGGGTAGGAAAACCGGAGAACCTGGAGAAAAACCCTCAAAGCAAGGGAGATACCTAACAAACGTTAATCACATATGGGTCCAGGAACCGAACCCGACATCCCAGAGGTGATATATTAGTGAATATTTTGAGGTTCTAATCCAATCAGTTGTTCCCTGTTAGCAGAATACATTTTCTTTTGTATTAATTGAGGKGCAAGAGGAGAGATTCTGCTTGCAGGGACAATCTGTTGACTAGAAAGACGTCAGAAAGGAATCTTGTTTGCGTGCAAATCAAATGTTCGACGTCTGATACTTGCTTAAACACGAGAATTTTTGCTTTAGGGGTAAAGTTTTCCCGTTTCATACCTAGTGTCATTCCCTAGAGTATAATGTTCAACGGTTGCACATGAGAAGACACATGAATATGGATACTAATCAAACAAAGAATATTATTCTGAAGATAATGACACGTGGTCTGAATGAGAATATCGATATTCGTCTCGTCACCTTTATAGCGTTATTATCGACCATAAATCTACCGTTCGAGCTGTCAATCAATTGATAGGTGTACTTTTGTCCAACGTCTTGGTCGACGGTGCTTAGAAGACCAACCAGGGTGTCTTGTGCGCTGTTCTCGTTTACTGCTGAGTTGGACAACTAAAAAGGTATACAAAAAAACGTTTATTTAAAAAAAAAAAAAACCTTTTATAACGAGGATTGTCACACAACGTCACATAATCTTCATTGAATCAAGTGTAGCTTAGTCGTAGTGCACTCGCCTCTCACCCCCAAGCTTTCGGTTTCCGGCGAATTCTGACTTTGGTATAACATGTGAGTACAGTTTGTTATGTCTCTCCCTTGATTCGAGGGTTTTTCTTCGGGTTCTCAAGTTTTCCTTCCTCCGCAAAACCTTCCAAAACACGCTAAATTTCAATTCCATCTATGAGTTAGGCGTGCCCTGACTTTGATCAGACCTGAGGTTGTTTCACGGTTCAATCTGTGAGTTAGCCATGCCCTCACTTAGATCAGCCCAGAGGTTGTTTCAGGGTATCGATAAAATTTAAAGGCATAAGAGATCATTGCATGTCAACCGTCACGACGAACCTTAGGGAAAAGTGTATTGGGATTGGATCTATTCTTACCGAGATCGAAGTTGGTTGATCGTTCGTGTCGAGCACCTGTACAGTGAAGGACTCCACCCTCGTTTTAGCAGGGACACCATTGTCTTGTACTTCTATCCTGAATGACCACTGTGCATCCGCCTCGAAGTCAAGCTTCTTAGTTGTGACTAAATTGCCATTCTGCTCTGCAAAAGGTACAGCGGAGCTCGAAAGAATAGAAAAATTGAAAGATTGTCTTATGGTGTTCTCGTTATCTGGATCGACTACAGTAATCCTGCCAACAGTTATAGGAGGGGTTTGGTTCTCTTTTACTCTTAGGTTAGAAACTACAATGTCTGTAGGAGCTTCGTTGATATCTTGCACGTTGATAGTGAATGATTTGTCTAATCTCAACCCCTGAGGATCCGAACATTGGACGCTYATAAGTATGGTTCTGTTTGCTTCATAGTTTACTCCCGCAGGACCTACAGTCAGCTGATTGACTTTTTCATTGACAGCCATCCCAATTATCCCATTGGCTGAGTTCTTCAATTGGCAGRTGTGAGTCTGTCGCACTCCTTCGGGTCCAAGGTTGTCAGGGTCTTTGATTGACAGGCTGCCAATCACCGAACCAGGGGGCGTGTTTTCGAGGATGGTGTTCTTAGATAAAGTTACATTTGTTGGTTTTTCGTTGAGGTCGCTGATGTTGATTGTTATGTTACCCTCTACGGAGTACGGTGGATTTCCGCTGTCTGTACTTCTCAAACTAATCTGATATGCTTTCTTTTTCTCGTARTCAAGATTAGCAGACTTGGACACAAACAGCTTGTTACCGCGAATCTCAAAATTGCCGCCATTGTTGCTAAGCAACGTATATCTAAAGGTCTGCCCGACGTCTTGGTCTACTGTCTGCAATTCTCCGATCTCGAGATCTCGACTGTTTTCATTCACAGTAGCCACAAGGCTTCCCTCTATAGTTACATTGGAGGGCTTATCGTTGGCGTCTTGTACTGTGATATTCACATTTTGACTGTAAAACAAGCCTTTGTCATCTGTAACTCTCACTGTTATAATTTCCCATTGCGCATCCTCAAAATCAAGGTCTCCGCTGACCAAAAGCACCGCAGAACACTGCGTATTTCCCTGACTAACATGATTACACATGGTTTTGGAACCAAGGGAGAATTTTCCACCTGCGCTGTCATCGAGGCTGAACGTGAGATTCTGTATTGCATCTTTGTCAACAGCCGTGAGTGTACCAATCTGGGTTCCAAGGGGCGAGTTTTCTGTGACGGTGTTGTTGTCAAGTGTTAAAGATACAGGAGCCTCGTTTACATTCAGTACAACGATGGTAAACTGTTTGGAAATCTGGAAAATATACCATTACGATGGAGTCCCATTATCTCAAACCTCCCCCTGAAGACCAGGGATGAGGTTTGAAATAATGGGGATTTGAGATATACTTGGACGCAAGTCCACGGGACACGCGCGAATAAAGTCCATCAGTTCCATTAGAAAGGGCCAATTATATCAAACTGTCTGGGGTTGTTAAATGCCAGGCGTCTAGAATTTTGGCTCGCAATGATTATACAGAATCACGTAAAATTTGGGGATTTCGCGCTCTTTTATTTTAAAGCGCGTATGGTTCCATAATAACATTTTATAGCGTTTGTGCGCGTGMAAACTCTTGGACAAAAAGGAGCGTTCAGTAATAGACATTTTTAGTCCAGTCCTGCACTGATCATTCAATAAGCAGACTAACGTATTTGCAAAAATGCTAAATCAACAAGCTTACCCATAATGCGGGACTTCCGTTGTCCGTAGCTCTAACCGTGACCAGGTGGACTTTACTCGTCTCGTAATCCGTGATCTTTGCTTTCAGTAAGTTACCATTACTGTCAATCTTAAATCTACCATTATCGCCGTTATCTAGAGTAAAAACCAATCGCTGACCAGAGTCTTCGTCACGTGCTGTCAACTGACCAATTACAGTATTAATGGGTGCATTTTCCTTGACCATCTGATTGGACAGTCGTATATCACGTGGTTTGTCATTGACGTCATTTATGGTAACATTTATTGTCTTGATGATAGACTTTGACGGCGAACCGCTATCTGTACTGCGGATTCGTATTCCCTGGAAGGGCTGCTGTTCATAGTTTAGACTACAGTGACTTCCACCATTCTGGAGGCAAAGTCTGTTAGACTGGGCTACCTGTARACGACATGACATCAGATATTACACTTCAAGTTTTGCTAGCTTTATGGTCTCTTGCTAATAGGAAATTTATTTCGGGTGACTTTTCACACACCTTAACCCGGTTATTCACAATTTTGAATCGTCCTCCAGCGTTGCTGAGCAACTGGTATGTAAAGRACTGTCGTGTATCGGGGTCAGCGGTGCTGAGCATGCCCACTGTTGAATCAATGTCGCTATTTTCGTTCACACTTGAACTGGAGAGCTGAAAAAAAACAAAAACAATCAAATTAACAGCGGTCTGTTACAAAGAAAACGCACTAGTGAGATATTCTTGGGGTGCAACCATAAGACTCAAAACCCCTTGAGACATAAATAGCAATGATCAGCCGCCATGTTGGTTGATCTAGCACGAGAAGCAAGAAATTGTTTGTTATCTTCAACCAACATGGTGGCTATGACGTAACATGCATCCCAAGAATAGAATGCTATGGTAACGCACCTGTATATCTGTTGGGTCTTCGTTAACGTCAGTAATCCTAATGGTAAATGTTTTGTCCAGGTACATTGAAGGGATTCCGTTATCTGTACTGCGAACTGTGATGTCGAACCTATCAAAGTAAAGAAAATAAGTAGGGTAACTGGCTGACTGGCTGACTGGCCGACTGGCCGACTGGCTGACAAAAATATAAGTTATAATATAAGTATAGAGTAATAATCGTTTTACTAACGTGTTCGGGGAAGCTTCAAAATCAAACACTTTAGATGTCAATAGCACTGCACCACGAATTTCAAAGAGTCCACTTCCTCCCCTGATCATCGTGTATGTATGCCTGTCTTTACTGTTCACTGGATCTAGAGAACTCAAGGTACCGACGGTCGTTCCTCGAGGCATGTTCTCGCTCACTGAGCTTGACCCAGACAGTAAAATCTAAAGAATTAAAGTATATGATCATAAAAGACCTCTTAGAGTATCATTTCTTTGTTTAACGGTTGCGCATGAGACGATACATGAGTATGGATACCCTTCTCAAAAGTAATCACACTTTTTCTCGGTGTAATTTGTAGCATTTCTTTTCCATTTTCATATTACTCGCACTAAAGTCAATTTTAAGTAGGGTCCATTCAAACAAAGAATCATATTTTCAAACAAGGTTAGAATGATTGACGACGCTGCAAAGCGACCAAGAACACAGCCCGTAACAGCAATTTCAGCATCACCTACATCTAGATTGAAAAACATCTACAGCAGCTAGCAACAACATGGTGGCTATGACGTAACATGCAAACTAAAAATAGAATACCAAGTTACCTGAGTTGGCGGGTCATTGTTTCGTCGACAGTATGACGACCCATAGCTCGACCAAAGTCCATTTGTTTGACACGTGATCGTGCTTGGTCCCTTAATMGTGTAGTGAGTAGGGCATCCTAGACTGCACGTGACAGGGTATTTGGTATTCCCTCCTGGGCACGTGACTATGGAATATTGACATGTGRAGCCAAGTTTGGTACCTTGGAAGAAAAAAAATGCAAGTTTATTTGAGGCGCTTTCGTTATTTTTTTTGTAGCCAGAATATTCCCAAGGCGGGATGTTTTGCCCACCATCCATTAAACCTACGATTTTTTTTGTAGCCAGAATATTCTCAAGGTGGGATGCTTTCACGTGTTTTGCCTACCATTTATTAAACCTACGATGACACATACACTACCTGAGTTAATAGTTGTTATTAAAAATTGCGAAGGTCGCAGAAAGATGAAAAGCGCTCCAAGACTTGCTAGCCCTCCCCAATAGATCCCTTGCATGTGACGTCAAAGCAGCTCAATTTGGAGGACAAAACAAAATAATTTCAATCTCTTGAGAATTGGAAACCTATTTTTATGTCCTCGAAATTGAGCTGCATTCCGACGTGCTGCAAGGGGWCTATACCCGTTCGCGGCCTTCAAGGCTATACATGAATTGGTATGCCGAATATTTTAACATCGAAAGGACTTCCAAGACAGAGTTATGTTACAGTGGGTTATTTAAAGAACCCGTGCCCTGCTTATAATCTCAAACCTTGTGCACAGAAACGAGGCCGAGCTGTCCCACAGTTCTTTGCGGCACAGGTCTGTTTATCTGACGCAAGGTTGTAACCAGGACGACACGAGCAGACGCCATTACTACAAACGTGCTGACAGCCACCATTTGCTGAACCACATGAAGAGCTTTCCTAAAATAAAGACGTTSAAAAAATATATATTATTTTGCTTCTTACAGCGCAAACAAGAGAAATTGAACTAAGGGAAGGATCCCCGTGCCCCATCATAAGCACTCTTTAATGCTATTTTTAGAATCTTTGATGCCATTTTTAGAATCTTTGATGCTATTTTTAGAATCTTTGATGCTATTTTTAGAATCTTTGATGCTATTTTTAGAATCTTTGATGCTATTTTTAAAATGATTCACGTGATCGTTACGTTCTTTTCCCTGCAAGCGTGCGCTCTACGCTATTTGCTCATGTTTTCTTGTGTTTTACTGACTAATAGGTTTTTWAAAAAAAGTTAAAACGTGAACGCAACTCTAACTTACCGTTAGCAAAGGACATGGAGTGCCTTGACAACGTTTTGGAGTGACAACAGCTCTAGTTCTCTGTCGAGAACCTACGGCGCATTTAGCGTTACAAGCGCCCCATGGCCCCCATTGACCAACCTTAAAAGATTAATTCATCAACGCAACAAGTTTATCGGCTTTCCCTTAAATTCAAAATTTCTTTTTCTCAGGGTTCTCTAGTTTTAAGAGGTTGTTTCAGGGTTTGATCTGTGAGTTAGCTGTACCCTCAGTTTGATCAGCTCAGAGGTTGTTTCAGGGTATCRATAAAATTGGAATGCTTATAGTAAATTGGCCTGAAAAGCCATTTTGGGAGACCAATAAAGTATATGTATAAATGTATGTATAAATGTATTTAAATAAAGGTTCAAACTCACGGGCTCGGTTTTGCAATAGAATTCAAGACCGAGGGCCGCAAATATCRACTAGGCCCTAAATTCCATTGTTTCGATGCAAAACACGAAATACTAAATTATAGTGAATTCAGAGAGTTAGATTACTGTTGTTTTGTTCTTTTGAAAATAGAGYGYTTACAATATATCCATGTAATTAAAAATCTATCCCGGGTTTATAATTCAGCCACGCTCTCCCCTGTTGATATCAATTCCGCCGCCGGCTTTAAGAATCTGGGTTTTCCGCCGAATTTAAGAACCTACATCAAACAATGGATTTAGGTTGATTTGGTTGATTTTTAATGCAATAACCTCTATGTATACTCACCACACAGTTACGATTGTCACGGTAACTAGTACAAATTTTACTAGCAGACAAGGGACCGCATCTTCTACCTTGACACACAGGTTGCGAAATTACTCTCCTTGTCTTTGTAATCAACCCCTTCCCACATCCGCTAGAACACTGGGACCAAGAGGACCAGACCGACAAGACACAGTCTCTGTTATTATACCGAGTACAAGATGTTGTCTCTTTAAGGGAAGGACAAGCTTTTCCGTTACAGCTTGGCTTGGTTGTGATTGTACGAGTTCTGACCTTGGTACCTAAACGTGATAAAGCGATGATGATTCAAGCTTAGTTGAGGTAAAGCAAGTAAATAAGTTATGAAGTGGCTTCAGGGGYGTAGCGAGGTCTCGATTATAGGAGGGGGTAAAAATTTACCATTTGGCAATCCACAGCCTCCCGCATGAATTAATTAAATTTTGGTTCCCGAAAGCAAACTTTTGGGGAGCGATGGCCCCCTGTGCCCCCTCGCTACGCCACTGGCTGTAAAACCATGCTGTGTTTAGAACAAATTATATTTGACTGTGGAAAATCTCGGTACGAACTGCTCTAACAAAAGAATATACTAAAARTCACTCACCAGAACCACACGTTGCTGTACATGCAGCCCAAGCTGACCAAATCGAAACGACACAATTAACAGGGCAACAACTATGCGTACATGACCGTTTCTCTGTCAGAGGTGGGCAGGGCGTGCTACAGTATGGTTGACGGGTGATAGTGCGTGTGCGCGTCTGAGAACCCGCACCGCAGCGACCATTGTTTGCTGTACATCGACCCCACGATGACCAATTACTAACCTGAAAAAATAAACCAGACGAGTATTAAAAACTGGAAAAAGGCTACTTTCTTTTTTTCTTCAATAATGACACAGCTATCACAGCCCAAAGATATTTCGTCAATCGTCAATCTCAGGACTTTTGTAAGCCACCTTGGACTAAAGATATAGTCTTTTTAACCTAGTCTCTCTTTTACACGTAAAAAAGATAAGATAACATTTTTAACCATTTAAGAAATCATTTTGAAAGCTTGGGCTACCTGTGTTTTCTTGGGCGAATTCTATAGTAGTGTAAAAATGGAATGTCACAAAGACAAGGAAACGTTAAATATCGACGGGGTCGCCATGACACCATTATCAAGCTTACAGGAAATGACGCAAAGAAACCGAAGGTTGATTTACATTACAAAATGAAATAAGGTGTCATGACGACCACGAAACGTCGCTGACATGCTTTTCGAAATGTTTGTTTATCAAGTGTCAAAATAAAAAAGAAGAGATACTCATAAGACTTACCAAACATGATATAGGGGTAGGTGTACATCTCCTAGAACCAGATAATGCAGAACAAGCAGTACCACCACAAGATGCTGGACGAGTTACTCTTCTTGACCTGGTTTGTATTCCACTGTTTGTAGCACACYTCCCAGTTGGAGCGTTACAAGAGCTCCATGGTGACCATGCTGATAGAATACAATTTCGTCTGCAGCAACCACCGCGACAGGTACGAGTCTGTGAGAGAGCTGGACATGCTGYCCCGCCGCATTTATTTGGAGTTCGCACGCTCCGTGTTCGTCTCTGCTGGCCATTTCGCTCGCAGTTGGCATTACAGCTTCCCCAGTTTCCCCAGTTGTTTACGGCACAGTTGACGGGACAGCACCTGAAATTTTGATTAAAACATAAGTAATTATTTTTTTAAATCGAATACTTATCCTCTCTCAGTAGAGTGCGTAGATGTACAGACCTACATAGATCGACGGTCCGTTCGTCCAGCCGCTCTATTAGAATACAGACAGACAGTCAGTTCGACAATCGTGCCAGCAATTCTTTATCAGAGACTAACAGAAAAGTACAAAAGATCCAACCTTTTTTTAATAGAATTTTTGCCATTTTTTGTTTCCTGTTAGTTTCGCATCTAAGATAATTTTGAAAGGGGTCTAAAGATACGAGAATATGGTAGAGACTAGATAAACTAGTTAACCGCGTCGGTGTTTGGAATCGAACAGTAGGAGAAATGATTTAACTTAATACACCATATGGTTTGTGATGTTTAGAAACTGACGTTTCGGACGTTAGTCCTTCGTCGGAGTAAATGGCGTAAAGATACGAGACTCAATTTCTACTCAGTCAAAATGGGGGTTATCAAATATTTCATACTACATAAAGAGGAGGGCTAAGAATTCAACAATTTTCAAGAGGAGGGTCACTTTTTTATTCAGAAAGAAGAAAAGAGACTAAATATTTTTCTTCACTGTTTATAGGGATTCCTCCCTCCTAAAAGATGAATGTTCCCCAAACAGCAAGAAAATTATTACAACATTTTGTATATCTTAATAAGCAGACGAATAAATCTAGTCAGGAAGTAACTGGAGAAAGCAAAATGAAGGCGGGAATATGATACAACACGACATGAAATCGTCTCATGAGGAGGTCGTTCTCCACAGGGTCACTGGATCGCAGCGGAGAGAGTGATAAAAGGCTCTCCGATTATAAAGTAATCTCAAATCAAATTAAAATATCAAAATTAATTAATCTTCATAGAATTACTTTGTAGTTTTACAAATGATTAAGAAATTGTAGAGGGATTTTTTTGAAAATAAAATAAATTCTAATGATAATTTTTTAATTGTGTAGTCTTTAAATTTATAAATCATAAATCCTCAAGATTTCTATTAGTATTATGATACTGAGAAAGGTTATTTTTGGCGTCGTTGGTACRTTCTGACAAGACAGCTTGAGCGGTCAAATGAATCATCTTGAGAGTCAAGCGAGAATAAAACTGTCAGTCAGGGTGGTATTTAAATCCCATTGCGTTATTTCTACCTTTTTTACTCAGTGCTATTTTACTGTCCTAACAGCCTAACAAATATAATGTGTCCTAATATAATTTGTCTTAACAAACATAATCGTCTTTGTRACAGCCCTTCTCCCTCCACCACCCCTCCCCCATAAACTTACACATTCATTACAAAATACACCTAAATCCTTTCAGTATAAGATTATATAATGATTTTTCCTTGAAGTACAAGATGACCGCTGCTTACTAAAGCAGGTAAATTAAAATTTTCTTAAAATTTTTCACACCTAAAACGACAGTATTGCATGTAAGTTGAAATCACAATTCATATTATAGAGAACATTTTGTAAACACAGTGTATATATATATAGGATTAGTCGCACCTTTAAGATCTTTCTAGATTGCTATATTGGTAATCTGATCAAGGCACCCTGATCTATATTATATCTGTCTTGCCATAACAAGAATATCGCCACAGTGGAAAGTGCTGTATAAGCCTTTTTTTCCTCGTGCGTGTCGTGATGCTCAATTCCAACTTTCAAAAAGCCTTCAAATCTTTAAATTTTATCGATACCCTGAAACAACCTCTGGGCCGATCCAAAGTCAGGGCACGGCTAACTCACAGATCGAACCCTGAAACAACCTTGGGGCTGATCTAAGTCAGGGCATGGCTAACTCACAGATCGAACCCTGGAACAACCTCTGGGCTGATCAAACTCAGGGTACAGCTAACTCACAGATCAAACCCTGAAACAACCTCTGGGCCGATCCAAAGTCAGGGCACGGCTAACTCCCAGATCGAACCCTAAAACAACCTTGGGGCTGATCTAAGTCAGGGCATGGCTAACTCACAGATCGAACCCTGGAACAACCTCTGGGCTGATCCAAAGTCAGGGCATGGATAACTCACAGATCGAATTGGAATTTAGCCTATTAGGCTTTGCGGATGGAGGAAAGCATCAAAACGGGGAAAAAAACAGAGAAAAACCCTGAGAAAAATCAAGGTAGACACCTAACAAACTCTAACATYATCGGTAATTTTAGTCCAAGAATCGAACCCGAATACCGTTAGGATAGTTTAAAAGTTATTAAAAACTCAGGTTTATTTGTGGGTAATGTAATACTGTAATGTTTTATTGATTTAGAATTGAAACTTTCTTAGGCAGTTGCTTTTGTCAGTCCCATAAATTTTCGCTTTAAAAAATATGCTTGGCATTGAAAAAACCTAACGTTTATAGAATAGTTTCCCTGCTAACTGACTATTCAGTCCTGACTTTCGCCCTAAAATCTTTACTTAACTTTTCTATCAGAACCCAGGTACGTGAGAAGTTATTCATTTTTTATACAAAATCAAGTAATTGTGAATTTTTGCTTGTAAAGAAAACTCAAAGTAATTTTGTCTTAGACAATTAAATTGAGTTTTCCTAAATTTAGTAATGACGGCTAAGATAAATCGGAAGTAATACTATATATAGGCGGATAAGACTAAGTTGAGTATTACTTTAGCGCCGTAACAATTATATGATCATGCAATATATATTTGCTAACTGCTTGTACTCACACCCCAGTATCGCAACTTCGTGTCTKTGTTCCTGGACAAGCCGTACCACCACAGGAAGGATTGCGGTTTATGGAAGGAGTTCTGGACTGCGTTGATGTTCCACACCCCGTACAAGGACTCCAGCTCCCCCAGGAGAATGAGCAATCCACTCTACAACATTGGATATTACAACGACTGGTTTCTCTAGTGCTGTAAGGACAGCTACCACCACACGATTCAGATACCGCTTTGTACCTTGAACGAGATCGCGTTCCCCCTCCGCAAGACCTGGAGCAGCTGCCCCAAGACCCCCATGAACTCATCCTACAGTTGCTTGCGGARCAGCTCCTTCGACGTCTCGCTATGAACCACGCGCTGGAAGGTGGTAGACAAAAACTAAGGATAGAGAGCCCTGCCAAAAAAATATGCAGACACTTCATAGTGCTTAAGCTGATTCAGTTTAGGCAGGACCCTTTCTGTGAAGCTGTCGAGCTAGCCAGGTAGTATGTRACCTTGAATACAGCGCCGATGTATATAGCGGAGGAGAGCGATGGTTTTTCTTGTAGTGACAATGATATCTAATCAATCAAAACTCTTCTATGCTATTTTTTGATTTCTCAAAGCTTCTGGGTGTTGATGTACTTGCCAGCGTCGCCAACTTATATCGCCATATGTGAAGTTGTGCCCCAGCYAGTCGCTTTCTATATTTTCCAAAGATCGTGACCTTTGCTGCTCATGTTTATCCCAAAACARTTAGAATAAGAGGAACGTTTTTCTTTAAGTCCAGCTTCTCCTGTGGCTAACAAACAGTTTCGTACAGGCAGTACAGTGAGGGAAGATTCCAAATCAATCACAGCATGCCTCTAGAAGACCACYAAAAGTATAGAAACTGAGTAATGATCGTAGTTAGGGTAGTGACAGGCACGAAGAGATCGAGAAGAGGTATTATAATAGTGTTTGTTGTTGAATGCATTCATGTCGCATGTTGTTCTCTCAACCAATCACAACAACGCATACTGTCAATAAATAACCAGCGTTTTGTAACACAACTAACAACACAAACACGCTATTACTTCAATGTTTCGTAACAAGTTTCCATCTTAATAATCTACAGTTATTGTTGACGAAATCTAGCAGTTATCGGCTTAAATTAAAAGTTTMATCTATTGTTTATAATGATTTTATTTTGTTTTTACTTGAGTTTTATTTGCTTATTTAAAAATCAGACTTGAAGTCAGTGTGAGAGGYGAGAAAAGGATGATTCCAGAAGTATCCGTCAGTTCTTTTTCTTTTTGGCATTTTTAGGCTTAGCAGAGATGGTGTTTTTAGAAGTGTAGACGAATCTGTGAAGTGGATCTAAGTCACAGTTAAAAATTAGAAAAAGAAAAGAAAACATTTGCCTGAAARGAACATGACTCTCCGCAGTGTACTGACCCTCGTTTTTGTTCATAATCAGTTCAAGACTGAATGACAGATTCTCTATCGCCGATATTCATCACATCGAAGTTTATAGCACTACAACGTTTTTTAAATATGTACATWAATTTTTGCTTGCATATTTTTGTTATTGAATAATGAAACCAAATGAATTGAAAACTAACAAGCAAATTYTCTGAAATGAACTGTTTGGTGCATCAATTTTTGTACAATACGTTGGAGAATATTTTTTGTTAAATTGCAAGGAAATATCATAAGTGGGAAAACTTCAGAGTTTTAACACTCAAATGGACTCATTTATGAACCAATCAAAAAGCAAGAAAACCCTTATTTGGATTGGAAGCCATTTGAAAATAATTTTTCAATTAATAGAAATAAAACTTGTTTAATGAAAACAAGAACAGCTTACTGTAATAAAATCATTATGAATGTCAAAATTTAAAAAAATATTAAAATGAATCCCGTTTCTCTCAAGGATACGAAAATAAATTTTACGTAAACTTGTTTAATTCTGAAAGGATTAACCAAGAAATATTACATCTTTGTCATGTTTTTTTTTCTTATTTGGTTTGCCGACCATGACATTGGTGTCAGTGAGTTGCTYGTGCCCCTACAGATCATCCTGATCGACCTCAGGGATCCATGCACAGGCAACCCAACAGTCTAAAACCATGAATTCCATAGATCCGGGAYCCCCCATTGTCAGATTTTGATTATGAAGTCAACCAAGCTCTTTATGCCAATAGAAAGGAAATTAAAACCACCCTTTGTGAAGCAGATCACGCAAGCTTTTTCTGCTCGGCGGCCTTTTTGGACCCCCTCCCCCCCCCCGTTTAAAATTCCATGATCCACCACTGCACTGCTTCTTTATCCAATGTGTCCGGTGGAAATTAAAAATATACTGATTTTATATGAATATTAAGTTCATATTGGAAATTAAAACTTGGTGACCTTGATTGCACTTCAGTGCTAGTAAAACAGTTTTATATCATGCTGAGAACCGCTGAGAGCACTGAAATGGGTTTTYGCCGATTTTCTTCTTTCTTGATATCATGAAAATTAGCTCAAATATGCGGAGTATCAGTAGATATATCATCTAAATGAAATGGTTTTACAATTAAGTAAACGCAAGATTAATCAAAATGTGAATGATCTTAGACTAAACAGGCTGTGCGAGATCATGACGTAACAGACTAWGAACTTAACTTGCATATTCGCGTGAAGAATGGTAAGTCGAGAGATACCTCTCCTTCCACCCGGATGCATAGTTGTGCATCGTGTGAGCGAAATCTTCTGAATTCTCAAACGAATATCATCAATACGAAGGAAATTCATCGAACATCAATACGAAGGAAATTTATCGAATATCAATACCAAGGAAATTCATCGAATATCATTCATCGATATGTACAAAACAGAATCAAGGAGATTCTGGACAGTTGACACGAACTGAATGGTGGAGATATTGTCCAACACAAGAYAATCCAGTAGACCTTGCTTCCAGAGGAACTTTAGTTTCACAGTTGATCAATAACGATAAGTGGTTTAAAGGACCACAATTMTTATCAGGAAAAACAGACCTGTGGCCGTCGCAAGATGCAATTGTCACTTCTAAAGAACAGGTAGAAGAAGAGAATGGTATGGCCGAAACAGATGAATCTATTACCGTCAACCTCAGCATGGCGAAMGATCCAGAAACGCAACCTAAGTTGTTTATACCCGTTGAGAAGTATAGTGATTTCCAAAGAGTCCTAAGAATTACAGCTTATGTTATACGTTTTATCAATAACCTGCGAAGGAAGAAACTCAATCAACCAATAGTCAACGAAACTCTCCCACACAACCTCCCCACAAACACCAGTATTCATTTTATCCGAGACAATGGCAAGAAATTTTAAGGACAGAAAAATCAAAAGGCTTGTGCGTCARTGAAAAGAATATCGAAAGGAGGAAGTACAATGTCGAGCGAGCCCCATGGTGGGAAGGTTTCTTCGAGCGAGTAGTACAAACAGTCAAGAGACCCTTGAGGAAACAATCGTGCAAAACTTAATTACGTAGAGTTACTCAAAMCGTTGATAGAAATTGAAGGAGTTCTGGATTCAAGAATTTATGACGAGATCGACGAAGTCTTGACACCATCACACCTGGTCATAGGAAGACGCCTTATGTCACAACCAGACAAGTCACACGTCACACGAAAGCGTGTGAGAGAGAGAGCGTGAAGAATAGTAAGTCGAGAGATACTTGTGTTAAGAATACAATCGAAAATACAACACAGGCTTTAGACCACTTGAAATATATAGACTCAGACTGCCATTAAAACATTTTATGATTGACGTGAGTGTCAAATGAATGGTTTTATTGTAGCACTTAACAGGTTTCCCGGTGATTGAGTGAAGAATCGCTGGTTATTTTTAGACAAAAAATATTATCAACATTGCTTCTTCATTTCAATTCTTATACTCTGTCATTACATGTTTTGACATGTTTCTTGGTTCAGTAAACTATGATTTTACCATATTATTATTACTAGCGATTCAAAAACATCAATACATCCATATTATATAATTATTATATCAGGATCTTTTTTTTCAGATTCAATATTATGCCGTTTCAAGTCATACGTTAAGTTTCTTTGCAGAATCTTTTACTACTGAATCAGCAAAACCTAAACGATCGATCCCCCCCCCAGCAGTACCTTTGTGCCGAGGGTGCCATAACGTTTTGTCTGGACCTATAGTTTATATCATTTCATGTAGAATCAACGATTCCTTTTAGTCTTCTTCTGATAAGACCAATACATTCTTTTTTTCAAAAGCGGGGCTTCAAGCAAAAAGTTAAAACGTGCCCATATGGAGGGCAGCATCATTTAGCGACCCGGCAAAACTGAGTAGCTAGCAGTACGTGCTGAGGCGGGATGCCATAAGGCAATAAGGTTTTTGGACCTAGTTCAACGAACACTAGCCGCAATTTATGCTATTTCGCTGTTTTGCGTCAGAAAACTGAATAACTAACAATTAAAAAAATGTAAAGATATAAATTTAAATTTTGTCGATCATGCAGGGATCCGGAGCGACTGTTCGGTTCTCAAGTCAAAGGCTCATGACTGCGGAGGAAGGAAAACCGGAGAAACCACCGCACCGGCAAAATTGACAAAAAAACTAAGTTAGCAGAATTAAGAAATCTATAGATATTAACCTTGTTATCATGATCAACTTACTGCYGTAAATTAGCTAAGATAAATATATAAGATAATAAGACTTTTATGAACGTAAGAAAGGTACTTACACTCCAGTATTACAAGACTGGCTGCGTGTTGTAGTAGTAGGGCAAGGGCTTCCTCCGCAARAATTTCGTACTCTCACCACAACTGTGCTTGTTTGCGTGGAAATACCACATCCTCTACAAGGACTCCATGCTGACCAGTACCAGTTGCAACTCACACGACAACATCTAAGATAACAACGAGTGGATTGTACACGTGAACCCCTGCATACGGCTCCACATCCACCAGTTTGTTTGCTACGGTAGCGGTATTTGTAACCATGGTTGCAAGATGCAGAACAAGAGCCAAATGCTCCCCAAGACGACCATGCACATCCGACGCACCGACGACGTCTTCGACGACGCCACGAATGTACTTGAGTCAAAAGCACCAAAACTGCTAAAATAATAAACACAACGGATATACGCATTATTAACTTTAGCAGAAAATGCTGTCCGAAGAATTTAGATTAAGAAAAAGACCTTGATCTTAGAGCTAATTTAATTATTTGGGATCATTCATTGTTTCTGGTAAACGACGCACGTCCATACGGATACGACGCTCGTTTATCAAATCGTGTACGATTCATTGAACGAGCGTCGTATCCGTATGGCTCATGTCCGGTCCGGACGATGTTGAGTGAACGAGCGTCGTGTAGGGTGAACGTGCGTCGTTCG